ACAGGGGCGTTCTCTGAACAGGGGTGCGCTTGTTGCTCCTGTTGTCCCACAAGACAATCTGTCCGGAGTACGTCCCGCCCACCACCAGGTTGGGGTGGAACTTTGCGAACCCGGCTGACATCACCTCGGACTAGAGGAGGAACCAAAAGCAGAAGAAGTGAACGTATTCGCGTCTGCCCGAGCAGTAACGCGCACGCGTGGGAACCCCCTTAAAGATTTCCTCACCTGGCATTGGAAGATGTACTCTGGTGTGCTCTTCTTGTACTTGAGGTTCCAGACCAGCGCCACTCCGTCGGGCTCATGGGGAGCGTCCTCGTTGTTGTTGTACGAGGCCACCAGCAGCTCTGGATACTGAGAGGAACGTAGCACGAAGGCACTTAGTGTTCACACATCTAGGCAGTCTGGTCTGAATGATCCTCCGCCAGATGTGCCGTTTGGGACACGCGATGCATCAATAACTAATAGAACCCACCTGAGGTGACCAGTCCAGGCAGGTGACCACTCGGTTTTTAGTCCAGCGCTCATCGGCAAACTGTCTGTTGAGCACCAGCTTTGCGCCGGCTTGCAGATCTCTGCGTGGGACGGACAAAAAAAAAATATATATATATACATCAAGCCTGCTATTCCATCACTAATCTTCAACTCCACTTTCTCTGGTGTGACTCACCCCTCTTTGTCTTCCAGGTCTCTGCCGCTGTAGTCGAAGCAGACGTCCACATGCTCGGCGAGCGCTCGCTCCACGATTCTGCTGCCTCGTTCGAAGAAGGATAGGAAGTCCTCGGAGTGCAGGACCTGCAGCTTCTCTTCCTCTGTGAGCTCTTTGGGCGTGTCTGCACACATGCATCATAATTTAATATAGATGTAAGATGAAATAGTAGAAAGGTTCTACTAAAATCAATTGTAGGTTAGAAAAGTAGAAGTAAAAATGTAAAGGCCCAATGGTTGGACTATTTCTTTCTCAGTAATCAGCATTATTAGGCAAAGTGGATTTACTGCTAGTTATTGGTATCAGTAATTAACAGGTAGTTAACAAGCAGCTCAAAGTTTTTCCTCACCCTCATCTGGCTGTTCCCCATGTTCGTCTTTATCCTCCTGGGTGTCCTCTGCAACTGGGCCGGTGATCTCCTCATCCTCTTCCTCATCTGAAAAACAACCCAATTAGATTTTTATTTTTTTAACACATTTTGATTAAACTAAGGAAGAATGTTGGTTGTATATCTCTTTTGTTTACCTGCTTTTTGATCGGTGTGTGTCTGTGTCTCGGTGGGTGTCTGTGTTTCTTTGGAATAGGACACACTTTCCTTCGGGGGAAAATCCACCTGGGTCACTTTGGACATTCCCAGCCTCACGGCTCCACGCCTGCACACACACACACATCATGGTGGAAATAAGGTCACACATTCAAAGGTGTGCAATTCATAGCAGAACGAAATGAGCACTCTACATATAGAGACATAAATAATTATGCAGACATAATACTAACACATTTAGACAGATCTAAGATGAAACCACACAAACTGAATAAAGTAGGAAGTCAAGCTACAGGAGAGAGGAGGAGCAGTACCCCATCAGCTCAGAGTCGGAGTGCAGCTGCAGAGTAGAGGGGTCAGGATCCCAATGCAATGTCCTACAGCCAAACCACCAGGTGGTGTTAGTTAGAGAGAGACGGGACGGACACAAAGAAAAAGGAAAGGATGAAACCAACGCATTGGAAAACGAAAAGTCAGAAACGTGAAAGACAGCAAACGGAGAAGTTAGGAAGACAGAGAGAGAAGGAGAAACAAAGTGTTAATTGAGAAACCTCAGCGTGCCGGAGAAAAGGCAAAGCGGAGAGGAGGTCAGACATCATCAAGTATATTCACCGTGTTGATCCACACTTAGCATGCAACTAAGACCCGAAATGACACGACAAGGACCTCTGTCTCACACACACACACACACACACAGACCTTGGTCCTGCGTTTCCATCCCCGGAATCTTGGCTTCCTGCATCGCTGCCCACTGATTTGTTGGAGGGAGACATGGGGGCGGGGACTAGGTAGTGAAACAGACATGTATCTTCTGTTACTACCCTCAGGGGCTGAGCTGTGAGTGTGTGGGTGTTTGTGTGTATGTGTGTAAGTTGATGAATGAATGAATGAATGAATGAATGAGTGAGTGAGTAAGTGAGCGAGTGAGTGAGGCAGAGAGTGAGTGAGTGAGGGAGTGAATGAGTGAACGAGTGAGTGAGGGATGGAAGGAGGTATGGGAGAAGCGTGACAAAAAAAAGGACAAGGGGGAGACAAGAGAGAATGAAAATAAATGGCAGGCAGGTTTTAGGCATCGTGCAGAAACATATAAAACGTTCAGGTGTTGTGTGAGCAGGGGGGTGGTGGGGGGGAAGGGGAGGGGAGGGGGAGGGGGGGGTGGCAGTGACAGAGACCAAGCCAGACCAGAGAGTTAGAGAGGACTCGCGCTGCAACTCTGCAACTCCATCAAGCAAACTAGAAACCGATGGCGGATAAGTGAGGGTGACAGTTATAAGTGGCAGCATGCAGCGTTGGGGTGCTCACCGTGGTGGATGTCGGGGGTGATGCCGACACTCTGCAGCAGCGCCTCCGCCTCCCTCCTCTTCCTCTCCAGGTCGGAGTCCTCGTGGCCACCTGAGGATCCCCCACCGGCCTCAGCTCCTCGCTTGGAGTCTCCCTACAGAGCACAGAACCAGCTAGAAACAAAGCAGCGGCCGAGCAGGTCCTTTGGTGATACCCAAGGTGTTAGAACTTATCGTTTCCTTACATCCTTCTTTTTCTTCTCTTCCTCTTTTCTCTTCTTCTCCTCTCGAATCTGCGCGATCCGCTGCTTCTTCCGCTCCAGTTCGGCCTTCAGCTCGCTCTTGTCAGACATTCTGCAGGGGGGAGAGAAGAAGTACTTCAACTCTGGCTTTTGTTGTTTTCTCTTTGGATCCTAATGAGTTATTGAATCGAGGTTCATGGATTTGCCTAGCTTACAATAAACCCTGACCACAATCAGTCTAAAAAAGAAAATTAGTCCGGTCACTGTTATTACAAAGGAGAAAAAGCAGCATCTTACACGCTGTTATGGTTAAAACTGTAAAACAATAATGCAAAACAATAAAAAATGATTGTAATTGATTACTCAAATATCAAAATTCTGTGTTGATTGTTCGTTTCAGGCCTAAAATGTATGCAAGCAGCGAGACGGGAGGCGGACATTCAAGTGGAGGACCAGTTAAAGTTCCTCGTGGACAACATCAGATCCCCTTGAGCAACACACACAGTCAGTACTGTGAATTCAAAACGACTGCTGACCTTGTATGAAGGGGTAAAGAAGTATAATTTCAGCGACATTATTATGAACTTGTTATACTAATTGCATGATCTCCCGTTGAGGTGCATCTTCCAACTCAAACAAATGCATACATATTGTCATCTATTCAATGGTTTAATAATTCTCGTCGTTTTTCAGTTTATTCAGGGAGATGTTCTGCTTTGCTTTGTCATACATAGTATTAAACTAAGTATTGTTTGAGCATTGGAGGGTTGCAACAAGAAATGCGATTTTGGACACAATGATGAATAAATATAGAGAAACTAAACGATTGGTGCCTGTCCTCTGCTTGATGTAATCCTATATTAAACGTGCAGAAACACTTACTACGAGATTAAAATCATGCTAGAAGAAATCAAGCTTTTTACTGACTCTATACGGAGGAAAAGTATGTATTCAACAATTCAAAGTTGCACCAGCAATTCAACTCCACATATTATCCGTGTTTGGATGTTTGGGTGGTGACTTCTTAGCCCTGGGCCGGTCACACTGGTAACATGTGAACAGCAGTCAGCTGTGGATGACAATGTTCTCTTTATCTGTGTCCTCCCGATGAAATGCAATGACTGAGAGGGCTATTAGCCCAATAATATGCGCACTAATTCTATTGGCTTAGGCGATTATAAGACCACCCACTTGTTATTACAAGTGCATAATATGCATTAGACTACGTTAAAAGTCAGAGCTAACGGCGTGTGACGTCACGACAGCCAAATAACAATACAAATAGCAAAAAAACTCCCCAGGTCCTGAAGCTACAAACGAGATGCTCAAACAGCGTCCAACCGCCCAAATCCGCAGATTTTATTTTAAACTCGCTGTTGTGTTCATCTCGTCGGTTTTGTTTCATCATCCCAACTCGTTTACTTTTAAGTCGAGGCTGTGTGTTACGGTGGCTTTCTTCTGGAGTCGATGATTTGTCACACATATAACATAATCATATAACATAATCTGATTTACCGCCACCCTGTCGGCACAGACCTCCCGGCTAGCTGTGCTAGCATGCTAATCTCCATGGCAGCCGGGCAGGCCTGAGCTACTGTAGCGTCACCGTCACAATGAGCGACCAACGGCAGCATCGCGAACCAACGCCCGAGTCCTTCCGCTTTTAGCGTCGCGTTTTCCCCGACACGTATACATAACCACAGTTATGAGGACATGGTGAAATACCTGATGTCAGATATTAGATTTACGGAGACGGATGAAAATAGAATCCTGTTTTTACGTTAAGCCAGAAGAGAAGTGATGGCGGTGCCTGATGATGCTGGAAGAGAGATGGTCGGCTAATTATCTGCGGTCTTCTTCTTCGGTGGTTCCGTATGCGGGTATTGCAGTAGAGTGTAACCGCCCTCTAGTGGCGGACGTTACATTTCACCTTCAACCATAACATCAGCTGTTTTGTAGCACTGGTAGTAGTATTCATATTCATATCCTTCATTTAACCATAGTTATCGCTACAAAAACAAAAATACGCATATACGTTGAATAGTAGATGAGGAGCAAACAATTCCAACATCTTAATTTTAAAAAGTCTAATTTAATATTTGATTATCATAACTGTGCATTGATATGAAGGCAGTATTTTAATGTTGTAGCTTCTTATAATTAAGACAATTTAAGGAGATTTACATATTTTAGTCAAACCAATTACATATACAATCACACATATTTAATAACATTTGTCAATTTTTTTTATTATTATCTTTAAAATGTTTTTATTCCATGCATAAACACCCATACAAGTCAGTCAGTGTGGGTTGTCATGCGGAAAACTGTGAACTTAGTAAAAGCATTGTCTACATGATGTGAATTTGCTCACAGCACCTCTGTGGTTTGGCCTTGTGATTTAGTGTTGTAGTCTTACCCTGTAAGGCGTTCATTTTTAAAGCTCTTTGTTTTACTCCGGTTCAGGAGCTGGATCGGCGTAACGAAAGGGGTCATAAAGGTCTCGTTTGAAATCATAAGGGTCAAAGTAAGGGGTTTTCTGGGTGGCTGGTTCTTCGGGGACTCTTTCCGAGGCTTTTACCACTTCCTCTTTCTCCACTGTCTTTTCAGCGGGTGCCTTTGGTGTGGACGTTTCCTGGATGGGGTGGGGAGGATGATCGATGAGGCAGTCGGGGTCCCAGTATGGATCACAGTCATACTCCATACCTTTAACGGTGATAACGGGAGGAGGGGGAGTTTGCGCAGGCTTTCTGGGAGCAAGAGGGGCTGGGGGTGGTTGGGGAGGAGCAGCAGCAGCTTTTATTTCCCCCTCGGTTTTGGGCATGCAGGCAGGGTTGACTCGGGGGTCACACAGAACCGCTACGGCCCCTGTTGGCAGGTAGACAATCTGAGGTTTGCACAGCGGGTCTTTGGGATTACACAGATAGATCGTCTGAGCATTCTCCAGAGGGTCTGGTGTGGGGGCCGCGGTGGTGGGTGGTGGAGGGGGGTGAGAGGTAGTAGTTGGTGCTGCGGCGGTGCTCAGCACACCCATTGCATTCTGGTAACTGGAGGCATCTGGGCCAAAGGTTACCTCCATGTGACGCATCTGCTGATACAACATCCTGATCCTGTCGATCTCGTAGAGCTGACAGAGACACACGTCAGAGAGGCAATGAAAACAAGTTGGGTTTTTTTTGGGGGGGGGGCTGAATAGTGTAATACAAGTACATAAACAGCTTAAGAATCTCAAATCGAACTCAACTTACTCCTTCAATGTGTCCAATACTGTTGTAATAGCGGTAGTAGGACTGAAAGTCAGGCGTGCCTCTGTACCACTTTGGATCGATGTTCCTCTTGGGTTGAGAATTAGCAAAGAAATCATGTGCCTGAGTGGAGCCAATTTTAACTGGATTCCCTGTGGAAGAACACCAAATCACAAATTATAAAGGGCGGGGGGGCATTTAAATTCCAATTTGCAAGGGAATATCTTCTTAATCACTCAAATAATGCAATGTTTTCATTTCAAATTAAATTAAAATCTTAGAGATATAAATCTATGTGCAAATGTTATGATTATTTAGCTTGAGGGATAATAATCATTTCTATTGAGAAAGGTACTATTGTAAGAGAGCAGAGTGCCAGAAATCCAGAAATAGTTACATTTAAACTAAGTTTATATGCAAAGTTCAGCAATCTTGAATAAAAACACAAATATAAAACTAGAAATGGATCACAACATCATTATAATCTGCTAGAAGACAGAAGACTAAATACCTCCAGGATTCTTTACTTTCACCAGAGATGTTGCTTCTAGCAAACCTGGTAGGAGGCAGAATGTATATTAGACGCCAACAAACAACACTTCACTCTGCAAAGCAATACACAGCAATTAAAAGGATAACATGGGACTCCATGAACGGAGCTATCAACAGATCCAACTCATCCGATCATTCTGATTCCATTTTGTATCGGTATAGTTTTAACACCTGGATAAATAAGAATTGTTTCAAGCATTTACTTAAGACCAACCTGCCATTAACAGCACGCAGGAAAGCGTCGTCAACAGGCACACCTGGGAAATCATCCTCCACACCTGCAATTGCAATATCAAGAAAACACCTAGATTGTTTTGTATTTTGTCTCAAATCAATACTGTTATTCGCACATGTCTATTAAATCAGTATATGCAAGAACATCCATATTGAAAGAAGAATAAGAATGAGGAATATGCAAAAAATGGAGGAAAACTCCAAGGATGATTTTTTGTTTACCTTGCCAGTAACTATCTTCCTCTGGTGGATAAACATATGAAGATAGCTGCTGGTAAAGTAAAAAGAATCATCTGCAAATAAGAATACATGTGCTGTGAAGTTACTAAAGGATCCTCCATAGTGGCCGTCTGACAAACATTACCAATCACAAAGATTTTCTCTTAAACATTTGGCTCAAAATTCTCCACAGTGAGTATTTACTACACAACGATTTACAATACAATTGTAAATCAAAGGCTGCCTCAAATGTATAGCTCTACCTTTACACTTGACTTGATTTTAGACTGAGATAACTCCTCACCTGCTGTTGCATCTCCCTAGTCCAGGTCTAAATTGCTGCACAACATAACTGTACATAAATACTGTCGTTAGTACTGGAGCCTTTCTGTTGGCCACTGAGCTGCGAGAAGGCCTGACTCCGCCCCGCGTGCATTTTCTGTTGGGACGTGGAATGTCTCATTAGCACACCGAGCATGAACCAGAGATAAAAAAACGACTTCCAACTAATTAGGACTCCTTGTAAAGCCGCAATAAACAGTGTTAGGACTCCTGGGGCGCAGGCTGTCATAGTGCAGAATGAAGCTCAGCTGAGGTGGAAGAAAAGAGTTTCCTTTTAGTTTTATGGACCAAATTGAACAAATACGGTAACACGCACCACCCTATTGCAGCTGAATTCTTGACAAAACACATGAAGGTAAAAATTAACCCTCTGTCCCAAAACAGCTGGATATGTCCTTTTAACTGAGGTGTTGGCCGGGCAACAAATAGGGGGCCAGCACAGTTAACTGCTGCTTATGTCACCTGGAAATATGCAGCAACCATGGGCTAACTTGTCCAAACACCAAGACAGTCTGGGAAATATTTTACTTAGAGTTTTCAAAATGCCGCTTTGATGCAGATATTCTCCCTAGATAGAAAAACTGTTACTGTTTCAATTAAGGTTATTTCCCAACATCTGTATATCCTTCCTTTCTCAACGAGACAAAATGTCTAGAAATCTGTTTGAGTTCAAGGTTCAAACCTTTAGAAGAGTTTCAAAAATATAGTGTGCAAGACCGCCGTGTTGTGTGCAAAACCTCACATTTCAACAAGTGTGAACAGGGATCGCTGATGGTAGTAAGTGATGATGTTACCCAGTGAGAAGAAGTCAGAAGCTTTTGGGTGTGTTTGTTTCAGCTGACCAGCTGGCTAAAACATGCAGAGGACATCTGTTCTGTCAGGCCTAAAACCAACACACAGAAAGATAATAGTTCTCAAATACTTTTTTGAAAAGGCTGTGTTCCATGAAGAACCATAACCTACGAAAGAACCATATTTTCCATTGGAGTTTGAGTTATTGATGGCAAAACAGTCTATTGGACTGTTTTGTCATATGGTTCATAAAAGCTTCTTAATTCATGTTCGAGTTATTGATGGTGAGTGATGGCTTTCTGCAAAATAGAATTGGGAACAGGTTGCTCCAAGGCTTCCTCAAATTCTTTTTAAGCTCATTAGAAAATGGTCCTTTAAAGAACCATGGAACCAAAAATGGTTATTCTCTGGCATCACTCTATAAAGAACTATTTTCGGGTCCAGATTTTTCTTTCTCTGTGTAGCTCAGCTGAATAAATCAGAGACTGAGACAGTGAAGCAAAATGCTGTCCTTCAGACCAGCAGGTAGGGTCTCACGATCAAAGAGTGCAAGAAGAGACAGCGAGTCTGTCGGGGCTCTGCCAGGTGGCTAATGGTGAAGATCATACTGTAACTGCTCTGTGCATGTCGAGAATGGAAGGGTAAGAGTACATGTTACTTTTAAATTATATACATTTATTTAGCCTGAACACAGGATGGCCTGCAGCAGCAAACCGCCGCCTCACAGAATAAATCAACTTGTTTCAAAATACGTGTAAAGGGAAAAATGTAATGCATCTGATTTTCTTTCAAATGTTTGCTGCCTTTTCAGAATAATACCTGCATATTATTAACACATATTAGCAATATTTAATCAGTAAACGTAGCCACTTGTTGTGAAGATACTCTTAAATATCTTGCCGGGATCCTAAATCTGGACTGTCAGTTATCCCAACGTATTTTAACAGCAGTTATTTTGCTAATTGGCATTAAGAGCAGTGATGAGTTGTGTTTTTAGCTCAGGACCTTTCTCTCTGCAGCTTTGCGCTTAAACCGGATTACACCTGTGCATGTCAAAGGGCATTGCTCAGTATTCCTGTTCTTAAATCTAGAAACATGGCAGATATTTGAATGGAACTTCTCTCTTGCTTGCTGCAGAAGACATTTTGCCGTTATTTCATCAAATAGGGTTGAAAGGAAAACCCACAAAGAAAAGTACCAACAACGTACTTCATTTGAATATTCATGCAGGTTAAAATTCCAAAATTATAATCCACTTATATCACAAGCTAAACGTATTAAAGGTATAAACAATACAAATCCTGCAGAGAAATTATCTCTTTTACTCCTATGGCTACTTAACTTGGCTCTTGTGACTTTTTTAGCTACTCTTCATAAGCGAATGTTGCTGATAAAGCTTGATCTTTGCTCCCCTCATGTGGCCAAAGAATTAACTTTAGAAGGTTTTCGGCATGTTGGGTCTACAACCTTGTAGTATACGTGGGGGAATTGGCAATATGATATTTGTTTAACTGTCCAGTAGACACTCAGCAATAAGCAATATGTAAGTTCACATGGAAGTGATTGTGCTTGTCAACACAATTATCCACAAACGTACAGGGGAGGATTGCATAACAACTTGGAAATTCAATTCGATTTGATTTGGATCTTATATAATGGAACCACACAAGATAGTCGGAATAGGCGAATTGGAAAAATACATTTTACGCTTTAAGTGCTGAATCCATACGAATTCACACCCTTTTATAGATCTCGTGCTACCAACTTTTCACAACTCCCATAAGATGAATAAAGTCCACTTGTGTGGAATCTCACACATTCATTCCTTTAATCCTAATGAGCACTTCTCTGTAACTTCGAGTCGAGTGTGTAACAGTTACACATAAAAAGGTGTTCATGTTAATATTGGCATTGTAAACAACTCTCTCTGCTCTCCACCAGGTGGCAGCGCGACTCGACACCGGAAACGTCCGACTGCTGATATCAGTTCCTTTAAGGATGCCGAAGTTTTGTAGTTCCTGGGTTCTTGACCTGTCAGCGTTGTAGTACAAGCTGTCACTGCCGATACTTTGTTTTCCTGTCCTTCTCTTGTCGGCTAATAATACAACGAGACGCATTGCGTCGCCCCCCCGGTGTTGTCCGTGACGTGTTTACTGTCGTTGCCGGTGTCTTTTTACCTGTGAGCTAACTGCTGAAGTTAGCGAAGAAGCCGACTAGCTTAGCATCTAGCTTGCTAACTAGCATTTGACATTAGCAGCGTTGGCTAGCTTCTTTGCTGTTAGCTAGCTAGCCCGCTGCCAGTGCGAAGCCGCCCACTCCTGCCGAGCCGCATTCCGGAGAAAAGAGCGAACAGTAAGTAACGCTGAGAAGAAAATTAAAGTTCATTTCAATCGTAAGCTAATACAACTATTAGGGCTAGTTAGTTAGGGATAGGCTAGTAGCATATCGATGATAGGGTGTTTTGCAATTGGCGAAAGCGTCCAGTAAGCCTGACAGAAGCTGCACAACTAATGTGTTGTATTAGTTACATTAGTTAACTAACTAACTAACTGTCACAGGTCCAATGATCCTTACGGGTATCCTGGTAACTCAAGTTGACTTTCGTCATGACTGTGTGTCGTTAATTTAGGTGGCATTTTAAAGCATCGGAAACAATGTGTGAAATGCAGGTGAAGCTTGTTAGTTTCTCAAATTGTGGTCCGGGAACCTTCAGGAGACCAACTTCCAGTGGCCTTTTTGCTAACTTTGGTTTATGCATGTTTACTTTTCAAGTACAATAATAGAATCAAGTAACTTTTGGATGGATCCCCATGGACATAAAACTGTTACGCCATAATCGCCATATACAGCTCAGTAAGTATTCTTAGATGTGCAATAATTAGTCAATTGAAAATTGTTTTCATTAACCATTTTATTATTTTGTTATGAAAATTTGCAATGATTTGAGAAATATTCAGATTTTTCTTTCAAGGTTGAACTAAAGAATACATTTGAAAACCTTCTCTGGGCCTCTTGGAGATAGTGACCAGCATTTTCTCACAGTTTTGTGTGTTTTTCTGTGGAGATAATTTAGCTAATATTGAAAGAATCAATCTGTAATACAAGAACTTGGCGCTGCCTTTTTGTTGCTTTCTTTTTATAGCAGCCTGCTGGGTTATAATCACATGTGCTGGTCATATAAATCTCCTCCGTCAATGTCCCAGAGCTCAGAAGGGCTTTTCGCTCTGACATAAGCTCCCTGCTGCAAATGCCCTGAGATGGATCCGGTCGCTGTCTCCACCATCGTGTCCCGCTACGAGTGTCACTTACTCATTTATTACACTCTCACCTTCATAATTGCAACAACAGCCCAGCCAACAGTTATTAGGCCGTTATAGCAACTTAAAGAAGTGACAACGTGCAATGTTTGAAAATGACGGACCCCTCCCTAATGACCTACTGCGTGATGGAATGTGTGGAATGGGGCAGAGATTCCCATCACAGGAGCCCTTGTGATGCCAACAGTCGTTGGTATTGTTGCACCACACGGTTAGGGTGGATATTACGTCACCATTGTGCAACTGATCTTTCAAGGTCTATTTAGAAAACCTAATGTTGATCTTCAAGGACTATTGTAGATCCCAGTGGGGTTCTACCAGGATACAGAGGACAATGTTTGACCCTATTGACCTCGGCCATTGAACTGAGAGTTTATTTGTTTCTGCATAGTCGATTGTCAGACCATTTTCAAATAAGCAACTCGAGATAAATGATTAAAATATGAATATTTGATTGTTCCAGCTTTTATAATGTGAGAAGATACTGCTTTACTGGATTGTATCTAATTTTATATAAAAACTCGTTGGGAGTTTAGTGTTTGGACAAAACAAAATGACTCTAGACTGTGCCTGTCCCTCCGGGTTACCGGGTCAAGGTGGACTCGGGATATTTCATCTGGCAAAACCTTACTGCTGTCCTACATTTCTGCAACAAAATGAGTGTGCCTATTTATAACGTGGGCACATTATCCAGAGCAAAACTGCAGGTCTCTATGAATGTGACCCTTTAAATCTAAGATCTGCATGGTGCATTTGTCTTGGCTTTTGACACAGATGGAGGCCCAAAGCTCCAGCGGCCTGGTGCTGTCCAGAAAAAGGAGAAGGGAGAGCTCCACTCGGGACAGCGAGGAGGGGGAGCGGCTTGGGAAATACCCCAAATGCACTGTGGTAAGTCAGCGGTGTTCTTGAGCAACCTGTTTGTCCAGCTGTTTCTGAAAAATGCTGGACATGTGCAAGCCAACCTGGATGTTTTATGTTTTATCAATCATAGCATGAGTTACTTTTCTCTGCAGAACTGTTTTTATGCTGTGCGATATGTGTGTCAGTGTTTTTTTATTTTTTATTATCGGCTAAAGAGAATAAAAGTTTGCTTTAAAAATATATAAACCTCAATAGCAACACCTTTTATCTTCCATTTCGGATGTTTCTAGCAACTAATAGTACTAAGTTAGCGTGCGATAATTGCATTTCATCCAACTAGGGAACACTATGGTGTCCAGCTAAAACCTTTTGTATAAAGAGATTGTAAACTTCCTGGATTTGTCAAATCTTCCACCTTCAAGGGGCTGAAGAACCCGGCACCTTTTGCAGACGAGCTGTTGCCTGTTGACCCTAAAGCCTACGAGAGAGTCAGCATGGAGGAGGCGAAGAGGGGAACACGAGGTGAGGGACATTCTTCCACACTGCCTGTTGATGTTGTTCCTTCTTCCCTTCTTTGCCCCCCCCCCCCCCCCCCACGTCTTTTCTTATGTTTATCCCATATTCTGCGTTCTACATCTCTATTAGTAACTGTCCTCTCAATCTTGAGTAGAGTTTTATATTAATCTGTACAGAATAAATTCATCCTTGGTCTCTCTCCGTCCAGCCAACCGACCGGTGCGGGTGTATGCGGACGGCATCTTTGATGTTTTCCACTCGGGTCACGCCAGAGCTCTCATGCAGGCTAAACGCCTCTTCCCAAATACACACCTCATCGTAGGAGGTGAGTCCCTCAATGTCCCGGTCCACCTTAATAACAACAAAGTCAGCTGCTTTTTCATAAGTGTGAAACTTAAGGCAAACACGGCAAATGCGTTTCCAAACAATAGTTGTTGTTTGTTTTTTTTATATTCAAAGTGTGCAGCGATGACCTGACCCACAAATACAAGGGCTTCACAGTGATGAACGAGGACGAGCGGTACGACGCCATCAGACATTGCCGCTATGTCGATGAAGTGGTGCGGAACGCTCCCTGGACGTTATCGCCGGAGTTCCTGATAAAACACCGCGTGAGTAGATCAGCCGGCTCCCAAGACCAGGACGCACAATCAGGGACACCTCGTCCGTCTACTCGTTTAAATCTTCGCCGTGAGATCTGAAACCGTTGAGAAATGAAAAGAGCCAAGCGTTGACGTGACATCAGCTGTAGGTGGGATCCACTGTGTTGATGTGTGTTGTAATGGCGTCTCCAGATTGACTTTGTGGCCCATGACGACATCCCGTACTCCTCGGCGGGCAGTGATGACGTGTACAAGCACATCAAGGACGCTGGTAAGTGCCGAAGGGACCGAGGTGTGGACAGCGAGTAATCTCAAGTGTGATCATTTTCTCCCACCTCGTGCATCACAAAGAATATGAATCCATATATACCTGCTTATGTGAATGGAGGGCTAACTGCTCGCGCGGCTGCAACCACAGGTATGTTTGCGCCCACCCAGCGGACGGAGGGCATCTCCACCTCTGACATCATCACACGCATAGTCCGAGACTACGACGTGTACGTCAGACGCAACCTGCAGAGAGGGTACACGGCGAAGGAGCTCAACGTCAGCTTCATCAACGTACGGAACGTAGCTCTGCTTCAAATGCGTCTGTGTGCGCGCGTTACTGTACATTGACCCGTGCCGTCCCTCGCTCGCTCGCTATCAGGAGAAGAAGTACCACCTGCAGGAGCGCGTGGACAAGGTGAAGAGGAAGGTACGTGACGTGGAGGAGAAGAGCAAAGAGTTCGTCCAGAAGGTGGAGGAGAAGAGCATCGACCTGATCCAGAAATGGGAGGAGAAATCCAGGGAGTTCATCGGCAACTTCCTGCAGATGTTCGGCCCCGAGGGAGCTCTGGTGAGGACGCTGCTTGGGTTTGCTCTTTGATCAGCCGGTGGGACTGAGAACATGTTGTTGTTTTTGCACTGTGCCGGTCAGACATCAACCTCAAAACCTTTGGTATGTTTACAGAACATGCAGAGCACTTTGCACGAAACTAGTTTGGCCACACACATTGATGAGATGCCCCCAGTTGCCAGTGACCCGACATTTGAGACAATTTATTGGTCTTATTGTATTCACACATTCAATGTTCTTAAAGGCACAGTTTGGCATGTTGGGAAATATGCGTATTTGCTTAGTTGCTGAGTTAGTCATTTGATTCCACACTGTCTGCCAATTAGATACGATCTACAGCCGGAGAGAACTAGTTTTGTTTTAGGGCTTATATAAAGTTGCTAAAACAAATGAAAGGTTGCACAAACCAAACGGAAGGGCGGTTACTTTGTGACGCTCGCGTCCATCCGGTCGGTCAGACGCTCACTTCCTGTTTCTGTGTCGCGTCGTCAGAAGCACATGCTGAAGGAGGGGAAGGGCCGCATGCTGCAGGCCATCAGCCCGAGGCAGAGCCCCAACAGCAGCCCCACCCGCGAGGAGCGCTCCCCCTCTCCCACCTTCCGTCTCCCCTTCTTCACCAAGACCTCCCCGCCTCCCTCGCCTCGCCCCCACCACAGCGGGGCCCGCGGGTACCTCATCAGCGAGGACGACGAGGACGAGGACGTGGATGAGGACGAGGACGAGGAGAACTAGAGCGAGTTGGATTAAGTGGGCCGTCGACTAGTGCGCTTTTCATTAAGCAACCCGCTTCCGTTTGTTTTAAGATTTAACTATTTTTAACACCACAGTGTCCTGTTAAACGCAACCAGCGGTTCCTGCACGGCTTTTTTGTGTGTGTATTGGTCAGTAAAAGTTACCACTAGTCTCATTTATCTCGGCCCTTTTTTGGTGTTGAGTTCATTAGTCACTCACTGTCCCTTTTTAGGAATATTTGCAGGCCTTGCACAGCGTATTCTTAATGTTGGCGTCGTAGTGAGGGAGTTTTTTTCTTTTTGTCTCTGTCGTGGTGGGAGGGCTCGCAGGTTTCCTGGTGACTCGCCGTCAAGGCACACGTGGGAGAGCTCGCGGCGGCTCTGCAGTCTCTCCGGATGGGAGGTTTTTCACAGCGGGACTGAAAAACTGCACATTGAAAACGGTCATTTGATGTGTGTGTATAGTCTGTTATACTAACAAAATAACATTTGTTAGACTTAAAAAAAAAAAAAATGTAATTCCAGATTGCGTCCAGTCTGAGAGTTTTGTATCTAAACAGCAGCTTTGTCCCGAGCGTGTGTGTCTGTAAGTGCATGTGATGTTTTTACTTGCAAGCTCTTGCGTCGGCATGTTCACACGTCTGTATTTAGTTAAAAAAAAACATCCTTTTTAAAGCTTTTGTTTGCTGACAAATACATTTTTGGAAGACTAGTTTCAAACAGACGCCGCTCTCGTGGCGTAAAAAGAAAATTCTGCTACGACACATTTAAATGTTGTTGTACCACTTATTTTTGTAGGTTTTATCTTTCCTTTTATCTTCTGTAAAGAGGGATCTTAATCTACTTTCTAGAGCAATGAATCAAAATAAAGATGTTTTTTTGTTTTCTAATGCAGATCCGTATCACCCGGGCCTCTACAGAATAATCGTGTCCACGTGATACACATGTGAAAACTTTAGAAAATAAAGTTAATGCATTAAAGCACACCAGAGAACTCCAAACACCCTGTTCGCAGAACATGTGGGCTAGTGAACACAGCCTTCATCAGTTTAAAGATGTATTTTGGAAGACTGTCACGTGGTGGGAGGAGCTTAGATTTATGTAACACGTTCATTTAAACGGTTTGTTTCCTGAGATGAGCACAAATGAGCATTTTTCCTTTTCTGAACCGTTGTTGCAGCACTGAAGCAAATATTTTAGCTTTTCTGGCCTCTGAATGAATCCACCTCCCCTGATTAATGCATGCGTTGCTTCCTGTTACCAGAAAACCAAACATCACAGGTGATCTGAAGATGTAATAGTGTGACTCCAATATACATATTGCTCAGTTCTACACTTGGTTTTCCAAAAACAACTGATGGCTGAAAAAGACCACCTCCATTCCTATGGTGGTGGATCTGATTTTAACACTGGGATATAACCACCAAACGGTTTCCTTCCAGCTGTTATTTTGATGCTCAGACACTTTTGGGAACCCTCGATTCTTGTGGAATCAGTTCCTTCAAATCAATGTAAACGGCTTTGCCACTTTGATCTCGTGGACGTGCGCAAAGACTTGAGTGACGAGCAAATAGCAGCCGCTTGTTTTAAATCAAGTCTCGTTTCAGTTTGGGGTTCCTTTGTTTAATGTTCTGGATGTAGAGGTCGGGGAAAGACTGCAACAATTAAAACATTTTGGCCGAAGCATTTCTTGACTTATTATTTTGTCTCCTGTGGTTTTATGTTTCGTGGATTAAGTTTGAGTCTATTCATTGACTGAGTTGCAAAATGTTAAAAGGTTATGAGCCAAACTGTTTCCCAAATGAATCAATTGGATAAAGAAAAAAGAAAAAACAGGACTAAGCGAAGACGTGCTGTAACAAGTCTGTTCCCCTGCTATGATGAATGTGTTTGACACAGAGGGGGAAGGCAAGTTTGGTTACATAGTCAGATTTTATTGGACAGAACGTCACCAGGGATACGAACATGAAGCAGACTGATGAGGCGAACACCAGGGGGAGACTTCACCTCACTGCAAACAAGAGCATCTTTCAATCAAAACAGCGCCACCAAGTGGAACTCGTGCTTAAGAAACGGAACATTTGGGTCACACGTCGGGAAGATGCTCACAGCTCAAAGCTGAAATGTTCCCCTCTGTTTTAACTTTACTCACTGGGTGTGGATGAAACTAGTGTGTGTGTGTGTGTGTGTGTGTGTGAGAAACGATACACTCCCCAGAAATTACAAAAACAGCTCAGTCACTTTCGATTCCCTCCCGCCTTCCCAGAAGAGACTTAAGTCCACAGCACGGAGTCAGGCGACGCATCTCCAGTTGAAAGGGCGAGACTACTCAGACATTATTCATGTACAAGAACAGGATTCATTTAAACCACGACAGCTACAAATCATCTTACGGGGATTACCTCTAGGACTTGTGGGACTTCTAAAGTAACTGGAGAGTAGATATTGGAAGAATAACACTTAAAACACGAGCACGCATCCTTACAAAAAGACACCAAAAGGTGTCCCCGGTCCTCTCCCCCTGGTCCCCATCTGCCCCACTCATCTTTTTCTTTCAGACACCAGTTGGTTCACAGATTTACTCATCACTAAGATATACGATACAATGGGGGACATGTTGCATATATCTGTGCATCATATCATATTTACTTTTTTTTGTTAAACAATGTGATTCAATCTCCAACACGTATTCAGGAACAGGTGAGAGTGGAGAAGGGTTTGGGGGGGGGGGGGGGGGCGCTATAAAAAACATAAAAATTGGGGGGGCAAAAAAAAAAAAATAGGGGGGGGGAAAAAAAACAAAAAATTTTGGGAAAGAGGGCCCCCCCCTCCCCTTACCGGGTTGAACTTTACAGGGGGGTTTTCTAAATTCCAAACCCGCCAAAGTGCCCCCCCCCTTTTAAGACCGCATGGGCCCCGACATTGAACTTAAACCCCAACCCCTCCAAGTGTGGCCCCTTCGAAACAGAAGGGCTGAAAGGGACCTGCAGGGATGAGAAGAGAAAGTAGAGTACGGGAACGCTGGGAGCCATAGGCGCTCACCCCAGGGGGGCGGGATTATCGAGTAAACAGGAAGTGTGTGTGCCGACAGTAAGCAGGTAGTGATTTGCGCTACTGGGATTAGATGTAATGCATAGTCCATCCATTTGGTTGCCAACTCCCAAAGTAGTGCATCACACAGAAGGTCAGCAGTTAGCAAATAGATTCTCAGTTTTTAAATAAATCAGGCAGTAAAGTCTAATAAGTAACAACTGTTCACGTTCAAAATTTGACAAAATTGTGTGTTCTGACCTCAAAGTTCATAGAGATCGGAGGCCGGGCCCATTTCTTCTTATCGTTGGTCGGCAGCAGCTCGATTTCAGCACTGATCTGAGACTCCTTCATCCCAGCCATGCGTTTGATCCTACACACACACACACACACACACACACACACACACACACACACACACATTAGTGTTGTACAGGTTTCAACAACAATAAACTTAATTCTTAAAAAACCCTAATAAGAAGTAAAAAAAACAGGTTTACATAACAGAATAGAGAAGCTGTTAATGGTTAACCTGACAGAGGGCAGAGTTACTACTCACTTCCACACTATGGCGTTCTCGCTGGCCTTGTACTTTGCTTTTCCCTTCATGCAAATGACCTGCACGCCGCTTGTGTTGAGGGGCGTTGGGATACGAACCTGAGGAGTTGATAATGAAGGCGAGGAAAACGTTTAACTCGTGGCATCAAATCAAACGTCAACTTACAAATACGAGTGCTGGTATCCTTTGACGACATTAAAGAGTTCTTTTTATTGCTAGGCCATTTATTATTTATTTATTTTCTTCAAATTAAACAATATATTAACTGTTTGAAGTATACTGTTAATACAAACAAATACAAAACTACAGCTTCAAACTTTTTAACTTTAAACTATCAATACATTAACTGTTAACAAGAGTTTGCAGTATACTTAGTTTCCCCTCTGAGATCAGATATCAGTTTATTGGGATTTGGGGAATATAATTTAATTTTTGATTCATGCTCATTGTGCAGGAGCTAAAGATTGAAAAGCATTTATGTTGGATTGATGGACAACCGGAGGGGTCTGCTGGTGGAAGCGTGGTCTTAACAGTAAACGGTCGGCCGTCATTAGCAGCTGCGAGGACGGATTCATCGGAGTAAATGAACCATTTCAATCAGGCACCGAAATCTGCGTTGCGTTTCGGTCGCGCCAACATGGCACCGGTCCTCAGTACCCAACCGATTACACAGTTGTTTGGATTCATTAGTGCCTCGTCTTTGGTAGGAGCTCACCTCGATCTTCTGGGCCAGCAGCGAAGGTTTGAAGTTGGACTTGATGACAACCTTAACCTCCAGTTTGGTGCGCCCCACCTCCCTGACCAGAGGAATGACTCGAAACGGCAGGATGATGTCTTTAGTAGTGCGGTACCTGTAAAAGAACGTGCTTCATGTTACAAAATCCGTAATGTAGTAAGAACTTTCAATACGGTTTACATGACTCACACTCATTAGACACTTTGAAAAAAGGACAAAAGCTTTGAAAGTATTTGTATGTAAATGTAACAAACATCTACTGACCTCATCAGCTCATACTCTCCATCAGGGGGGATGAAGCTGATACTGCGCTCAGAGTCAAACTTACTGAGACGCACACACTGGTGGAACGTGCAGTCATCGATGGCTATGGACTGCTTGCCACTGCTAGTCGGGAGGGACGGGGACAGTGGGACATTAGTTCATCACATTGAACCACGACGGCCAAAAGATAACAACTATTACTCGCCCTCAATTAATGACCACAGTTACAGAACAAACACACGAGGACACCACTGCTAACACCAAGAAATAAAAATGACACCATTGTGCAGCAACACAAATAACTGTTAGGTGTGATGTAACAAAAAAAAAGGGAAACAACCATAAGGATGTACACGGCAGAGCTAACAAGGTGCATTTGATTTGGCAATGAGATGATTAAGAGCTTAGATAAGAAAAATGTGTGTGTGTGTGTGTGTGTGTGTGTGGTGGCAGAAGGTGAGTACACTTGTCAGTACAGTACCTTCCTCCCCCTAAATCACTGAGGTACAGCACATAGAAAAGAAAGAGGGAAAGAAAGGAGAGATGCATCCAAAGGAAAGAAAGAAAATAAATTGTAACGCCTGCCTTGTTGTAAACAGCAAGACAACACTCATAAACAAAGACAAGGGGCTAACAGACAAGGTGGTCGTATATTTGGACTCAATAATCATTGCTGAAGCAATATAAAAAGCAAAGGATCTGTATTGCAAATCATCTAAACGGATTGCAGTTGATTCATCAGAAATGTTCAATTTGCCGCTCACCTCTTCCCTGCGTCGTCAGAGGCTCCGCCCTTTCCCTGCTTGTCGATGACAATCTTGTCGTTCATGCCAAACTTGCACTCGGGCATCCCACTCAGGTAGCTCTTCATCACCACGCGGCCCGACACGTGGGCGCTGAGGACTTGGCCTGAGCACGGCGGGAGATAAATGGCGCCGTGAGGCTGGCGCTACGAAATACAGCTCTAAGCTCTTCAAAGTCAAAATAAAACCACTCTCGCCGGAACTATAAACTCCCTCCAACCCAATTCAATTCACGCACACATTAACAGGTTTTTATAATGTTATTAAAAATTAAAAAACACACACACCTTGTGGGGACATGAGCAGGTTGACGCTCTCCAGTACGTCCAGGAAAAGCTCATTGCGGCGATACTTGATGCCCTCGCGGCGCCAGCCAATCTGCCCCGTCACCTGACTGGTGATCTGAGACTGCTCTTCCTTTGTCTGGGGGGGAGGAGGGGGGAGAGAAACTATCACTAGTGATCAGAGGAGAAAGAGGACACACGAATGGGACGCGGCTCCATATGTGGATGAATGGAAGCAGTGGATTATTACCTGGTGCTGAATTACGAAGTGTCCCAAGACCAGAGGGGAAGCAAAGAGGGAAAAATAAACAAAAGCATCATTAAATACCAGTTCAATCGGGATAACAAAGTTGGCCAGCTTTATTTTGAAAGGCTTCCCTATAAATGTTTGGTATCCACAGTGTCGTCCTTTCCTTTGTCCTTTGAGACATGAAGGGAACATTAAAACCGTCACGCCGATACACGTGGGACACCAAACCCGTCACACTGACCTGTCCCTTAATGCCCTGCTGGGTGATGAAGGTCTTCAGAGCTCCGGTCTCTGAGTTCTGGGGGTATCCAAAGTCCAGAATCTCTGTATAGACACAAGCAGATAACGACGGTCAGAGATAAGAGAAGTGGGCGGCTGATGACTGAGTGAGGCATCATAGTAACTGATTCACAAAAAAAAAACAGAAATACAAATATCCATTTAGTGTAAAACGTCCCATTGGCATATTTATCCAGGCATCCCAATTATAGTCTTACCATCCAGCAGCTCATAGATGAGTACAAAGTTGTTCTTGATGTTCTCCTCGCTGATCTTGCCGAAGTAGGCCGTCATCACGTCGCACATCTTGTAGAGGAACTCGAACACCATGGCGGCGTTGACATTCTGCTTGGTGACCGCCGCCAACCAGATGTTGGAGCGCTTGACGTGGAAGAAGCTGGTTCGGGCGATGTTGGTCACCGGGGATCGAACCTGCTGCCGGGCGTGAATCACGTTGACGCGGAAGGCGTCCACCGCGTTGCGCCTGAGATCGGGGAGGAGAAAGGGAGACGGACGTTGAAGACGACGGTTTGCAGGCTTGGACGTCACAGTGAGGCGGTTAACGCCGTCCCACCCGGTGACATCCTGGTAAAATACTGCACTCGGGAGTAAAATGACCACGGCAGGGAATGAGTCACGGTCAAAAGATTTCCCAAACAAACGGAGGGGGGCTCCTTGGAGTTGTCGCATTTAGACGGAGAAAATAAGTGCCGTTTTGTGTCGATTGGGACGATTACCAGGAGGGAGCGGAGAGGCTGCGGGGGTTTAGGTTGACACCACCGTAATTATAGGTGATCCATGGGAACAAAAATAATGCTCAAATGTAGATCCAAGATGGGCTATTTTGTTGTTTTGAGGAAGTTAACGGGCTGCATTTAAAAGGATAATAGTGCAATGAGGCTCTGTGGAAACAACCCAGATTAATGTGACTGTATAAATAATACAGCGCTTTCTGTCAGGAATACTAAATCCTCCTGAGAACATTGGGAGGTCCTAACTGGCACAAACTGCCGGTCTCTGCGATGTTAAAAAGAATTATCGAACACATTGAGAAGAACAGGGCCTGCGGGTTAAAAGGGGAACCTCTCTCACCGTTTGCTCCCATTTAAAGTGGTACCTTTACCCACAGTAGAGACATACGGGGGCCCTCATTGGTTGACTTTGCGTACGTTAAGATTTGTGTTATCAAAGCATTAAAATGGCTACATCACATTTGAATTAGAGCAAAGAATTAAGTGGGGTCTATGAGGCTACCATGTCTGCCTGCTGCACAATATCAACTCAATTAAAAATATTGCAAAATAAAAAAAATATTAAGTGTCATCACCTTCCAAAATGTGTCTCTGAATTACATTGAATGTCGAACTTTTTTTTTTTTAAAACTACCCCAGAACTCAGTTGATTGCAGTAGATCTTGCAAAAGTCAAGGCCCACCTCTGCAAATAAGACTCATTTAAATTCATCTAAAAGCATCTATAGTCTCTCCATTACAGAAAGGACCCCAAGGATGAAAATGAATTCATTAACCAGCATATGCCATGCTCAAGACTCCATGCTGAGGCACTAGTGGGGCGGTTTGTGAGCATCCCATAGAAGGCTCCTGGTCGGGGGCTTCGCCTGTTGGAGCTCAGCATCAGGTGGTTTACACACCACTGGGATGCCATGACAGGTGACTCATGCTTAGAGGAAGTACCAGGATGTTGACTGTGGAATCCATGGGCATGCAGCCAGGAGGGGGTTCTGAATGGGGAGGGGTCATGCTTGAACATCTGGAACATCTCTTACCTATTCCTACAGGGGCCAAGATGGACAGATGGGAGGAAAATGGTAATACAGAGGATAGAGAGGAGAAAAGGATGAAGTAAAAAGGAGAGGAGACAAAAATGTACAAGACATTTTCGTGCATCATGTACACAGACACAGTGAGTAAATTGAGTGTTGGGAGTGTTTATTATGGCGCCATCTTTGTAATTGAGTATGTTGGGAACAAGTCAGCAGCACTAGATTACTGGTGAATCCATGTTGTCATAACAGCGTGGCAAGTGCATATTGATTATTTGCACCAGCCCACATCAACAGCTTGATTATATCTAGTGGATCGGTTCATAGTTCAGCTGAAACTAAAAGATCTGTTGCCACTTAGACAAAAAAAAATACATATGCGACCATAGATGTCGACACAACATGATGGCACATGCCCTGAAACCAAATAATACGCCTGGTTTCCTCAGTGCAGCCACAGGGGGGCTCAACATTGACTGAGGAGGCAGAGAAACGGTGCAATTGTGTTCCTGCTGAGAAATAATAAATAATTTAAATTAGCGATTGCTGCCTGGAAACCAGACAACAAAAGGGATCCTCTTCATACATCGTCTGTATGATTTAACCTGCGTACCTCACCAATGAAAGGTATGCGGAGTGGCTATTAAATGCATCTCAGTGGCCCATTCTGCTGATGAAACGTCCAACACTGGACAGCTTCACACATTTTGCTTTCTGCCCTTATCTCGAATGCATTGCCTCCAACATTACTACAACTGCCTCAATACAGGATTAGAAATGCCTTGAGGATCTAAACAAAAACAAAGTAAACAAGGAACCAACCCGTCACTGTGTCAGTCTACAGGGTACTGGGCTGGTGTGTTTTCAGGAGAGAGGTCTGTACTCCACTCAATCCCTGAATGGACCTGCGTTTACGCAGCAGAATGTGATAATTGAGTGTAAGCATGGAGACTTGGCATGGCGACTAAAAGTGAATCACACAACAATGTGTCCAAAAAAAAAAACAAATGAGGAAGAGGAAGGAGGACAGACACACAGACAGACGGTACCAAAGTGATATCGTCACAGCATATGGCACATTACCCCCGTCGTACAGTTGAGTGGCGCTCCGTAACAAACCCACTGACACGTGGAACTGTGTGTTGGGTTGCTCCCGGTCTTTAAGCGCTCATCGTAGGCAGCTGGAACATTTTGCTTTTTACCAACACTTACTCCTAAATAGTTTTAAGTTTCCACTTACCTCCTGATTTAATGTGAGCAGCTAACAGACCCTTTTACACTATTTTGACTTATTGTCCCTAACCAATAACCATCGATGCAACGCTGAGAGAACTATTTTATCTACGCCGGAGAAAATGATACGGATAGAAAGTATCTCATTTCCATGTGGTACAGATGTGAGTGCAAAGCTCTTCACACATGTATGTACTCTTGTACATACAAGACAAGGTTTGCCTTGATAGGCATGAATGAAAGTGAACCACATAAAAATATTGAAGACATGATCTCTTGTAGATTATGTAAAATGGTACTCTTGTATTGGTGTCTTTTATTATATCCATTATAATTGCATTGTTGCCTTCTGTTCTTTGGTTAGGGCTAGAAGCATCGTCCTAAATGTCATCCTGGTTTAGCCATTTCTAAAACCACATTCTATAAGAGGTGACAAAAAACACACACCAATGTAAACTCCCTAGCCGAGAAGAGGGACAAAGTCCTGTCCCATCCCTTCCAATTTAATCCCACCACCACCCGCTGGTGGATCAAGCCCCTCTCGCCGACATTAAGTCGCACATAATTAGGCGGCGTTACAGCATCGCTCCTGTGAAACGTACCCAATGTCATCTCGGTAGACCCTGGAGATGAGGACCTCCCCCTTGTGGTTGTAGATGAACAGTCCTCCGATCATTGTGGCTGCTTCTCAGTCCCAACAGGCCATGATGAATCCAAACCCCCACCTGAGGAGAGCAGGAGATTGCAGGAAGGAAACATGAGAAAGAAGTTCTTGTTTTTTTTTTTAAAAGGGTGATCGAAGTGAATTCTGTGGAAAGTGAGGGAGTGACCAACAGCACAGGGAAGCGCTTGTCCTTCACATCCGCTTCCTCCGGGTCTCTTTCTCTATGGCCAACTGAATACAGCCTGCAGCTGCCCCACTGTGATGACTCAGGTTTTTTCTTTTTACGTGCCTAAGCATAAACAGTAAAAAAAAAAACACCACTTCGATGGATGCAGATGAGACTCCACCACATTCAAATCCCCATTTCCTCCCAAAGTAAGACTGACCGCAGATTAGCAGCCCCCGGTTTGAAGCAGGATGCCCTCATGTAGCCAGCTAACTACAAACCTCTTGCTGGGTTGGCACTTCACTACGGGGAGCAGCCTGAGCATGAAATCCTAAGTAAAAGTCATTCATTTAAAAAAAAAAAAAAGGTAGCACATTTGTTAGCGTTGCTTGCGCCTTAAGACAAAAAAAAAGCAATTTTCTCTCATTTAAGAAGGGAGATTCTGGTCACCAGGGGATGAAGGACATGCTTGGAATTCCTAGAAGACAGAGGCCGTGCAGCTCAAACAGCCGACGGTTCCCGGAGGAAGAAAGGTGCACAAATCACACGCTCGGGATCCGTAAAACCATCTCGCCCACTCGGAAGTTAAAAGCGTCGTGACCGAAGTAATCCGCACACAGATTTAAAAATCGCCTTTTCATTGGGCGACGTCAAGATGTCTGCTAGGCTCGGGCCATGTCCTAAACGTTACACACATTTTTCATATTTATCTCAGTTGTTCCTCGACTGGCGAGGAATCATTTCCATTCAAATGGGAACAATAGTGAATATATCGTTGATGAAGGCTTGACCTTCAGATTAATTCAAAGTGATGGAGAATAGACCGAGCGAGAAGTAGCTAGCTAATTTAGCTTCGGATAGCAGGCTAGCTGACGTTAACGGTTAGCACCGGGCGGAATTTTAAACGGACTTCCGGAGAAAAAGCAAAGCTGACCGTTTGACGTCCATTTAACGTGCAAAACTCACCTGTCGAAATGAACAATTTAAATGACACCGCGGACGGTCTCCAGTGACACCGATTGGTTAATAATTTGCAGAAATTAAATACTGCGTGCTTTTATGTTTAGGCGACAAGCCGCCTCTGGTTCGTGATACAACTTCTAGCTTGACTTTGACTAGCTAACGCGGCTAACGCTAGCAGCGCTCCGCCGGCTTTACGGAACAATTATCGAGAACCATTTGATCCTTTGGACCAATGAAAAACAAAAAAACAACACTGTAATCGTCTCCACCTTGACGAACTCACCCTAGTCCTCTCGCGAACGCCACCCGTGTAACGCACCGCGACTGGCCTCGGATATATATATATCGTTTGTCAAGATCCAGCAGGTCCCCCGTTCACACACACACACACCCGCTAATTCCGCTCCTCCTTCCCCTCGTCCCGCTGATGGCTGTCAGCTGACCCGCCGTCCTCGCGCAGCGCCGCTCCGCTGACAGGAAAAGGCGCGGCCGCAGCGATGTGTAAACCGCACCCTGGCCCGGTTACGATAAGCCGCGAAGCCAACGGGTCAATCGTGCCCTTTATCGTGGTTGTGTTTTATGTTTTGTGAGGAGGGACGTGATCCAGGCCAGCAAAGGGAGATGGTTCATTTTATGAGATTGACTAGCGGCCGTGTTGGGAATGAACTTTTCTTTTAGTTAAATGTTCTCGTTTTAGCTCCTGGCACTGCTGCTCTTTAACTACCACCTTTCCTGAAAGGAATTCGGTGTTTATAGATCTTAAGCAAATGGTTGATTAAGTGGTCTCGTTTGATTCTGCCAGAGTCCATCTGATTGAACTCTTACTTCCCCCCCCCCCCCCCCAAGTTCAATGAAACCACCTCTACATGTCTTTCCCCACCCGAACCACAGGGAACATTTTTGCATAGATTCATTCACTTCTGAAGCAAATCCAAATGAACACATATATTGTGTGTGGACACACATACGCATACACACGCATCTGTGCACCAGATTGCCTCACTTTCACATTCCTGATCTTAGGACAGTCCAGATTCCGCTGCCTTAAAATGCAAACATGAACCACGTACCATTAAAACCAAAACAAGGTCAGATATAAGACAGATATAAACACTAACACAAGCTATGGCACACATTTAAATAAAAACATCACACACACACTGCAGCAGCGTTAAGTCATAAAACTATATTTATAAATAAAAAGACATTTTTCCTTGATAAAAGAGTAGTGTGAAAGACATAAGAACTTCTTCCCACTACACATTATCACAAGACAGAGTCTGAAAATGCTCTGGTTAGAAGATGAAAATTCAGTTTAGTGTAAAAATGACTCTTGAAGCTGGATGCTCATGTTTAGTGTTTAAAAATGAAACTAGTTGAGACCAACTACGTATATAATAAATCAAATGCATTCTTACAGTAAGACGGACTGTGGCTCTCTTGCACTACATACACATTTTTCCCATTTCTCTTAAATCGAGCAAACGTTTAAAAAGTCTGAATACGGTTAACAGTTAGTAATTTTTTCAGGTTGGTTGTTGCTATGGTTAAGAGGTCAGTGAGTTGGAGCTGAAAGCACACGAGGAAGGAAGAAGAGGCTTCTTGCGCTCAGTTTTGATGCGACAGCAGAAGGGGAGGACACAGAATGTCAGGATAATGGAGGTAGAGAGGAAGGGAGAGTGAAGAGAAGCGCAAATGAAAAGCAGCTACGTGGAAAAGCACTGCGTCATTATCCTCCGTCGTCTGCTCACGGCGCCTCGCTCCCTCTCTCACTCTTTGTCCTTACGCAAACTCTTCCTGACGGAGAAAACTGAGAAAGGAGCTTTGGTTCCATCTCGAGCGGGGAGGAGTTCTTCACTGAAGAAAGTATGGCCGCTAATACTACCAGGAAGGAAAAGCACAAGGAAGGAGGAACATTTTCTCCCAACATACACAACATGGTTGGTTCCACTTCTGCTTTTAGGAGAGCGGAACCAAGGCCTTGGGTTTTTGCTATCATGCCACCCCCCCACCCTCCCGGGTCCTGCCATGCCGTCCTTCTCAGATTCACAGCGACACAATGAAGCCCGATCTGCTGCTTGCTCATCGGCCCACTACCCGCGTTACATCACGTCGACGAAGAACTCTCCGGCGTTGCCCACCGCCATGCGCAGTGACTGCCGCGACGCAGTGAGCTCGGGGGGCACGGAGGCGAGCTCCCGGCCCGGCGGGGCACCGGGTGCGGCCGTCGACAGTGGGGGCTGGGGGGGCAGGCCGGGGGGGCCGTAGACCAGCCCCGGGCCGAAGGCTATCGAGTGGGAGTGGGCGCTGCGGTGGCTGACGGAGCTGCGGACGCTCCGCTCACTAGGGGGAGCCGCTGAGCGCTCACTCGGAGCTCGGTGGCTCCTGATCTCGGGTTCGCTGCCGCTGCCGCCGGACTTCCGACCCTCGTTTTTACTGCAGTTCGAGCCGCTGCTTCCTGTAGACAAGAGGGGGAGAAATGTGATTATCATCCAGGTTGCGATCAGCAATTACCATACAGCATTTCTCGCCGAGGAGGGCAGGCGCGAGTGACCCAGTTTGTGGGAGACTCTCAGGAGCCGCATGACTAATGCAGGCACTTGAGCGGAGCATCCACAGGCCAAACAGCTCAGCCATTACTGAAGGCAATGCATGTTTTCATTTTATCACCACAAACAGCCTGCTCACTTAAGAGGCATGTTCTAGCTGAGCAGCAAATGGGGAGGCAAGACTAACGAAATGCAATTAAATATCCAAACATCCACTCAGGAATCCATGTTGCATCGTGTAGCCTAGTTAAGTAAATGCAATGTTCGTGTGCAACGACTAAAATGAGGACATCTGAGATGTTTGTGCAGTGGGTGGAGTGCATCTGTTGTTGGTCAGTAAATATATCCACTGTGTAGGCAAACTCTTCTTGAAACCACATTGTCTGCCTTTCAGTTTCTACACATGTTAATAAACAAGGCACCTTTAGAGCTATTGGATGGAATATTTATCACTTCAAGTAAGCTCATCCAAACACGCACTAGCCCTGGACTGGAAAATAAACTGTGTGGAGATCAAATATAGGTTGATTTCCTTTTTGGATTCGACAGCAAACCAGATGTTTGACACAGCAAAATGTTGAAGTATTCCATTCAATTTCTCTGTGCCAAGTGCCCCTTCAGCCATAACCAAAATGCAGCGGCAGCAGCTAGCATGAAATCCTAATGACTTTATAGCCTTTTACTCTGCTGAACAAACTAAAAACTTGATATGGCATTGACGTGGTTTCGCACTGACGGCTCTGTGGAATCACCAGAAGCAGCGCGGCCCAATAGCACTCACCGCTGTTCTGGCTTCCTGCGCTGCCGGCGCCCGGTCCACCGTGGCCGGGCTGTTGCATGTCGTACGGGTGTAGAACGGGGAACTGGTAGGGCAGAGTTATGGGCCAGGGGGCGGCACCCGGGTGAGGCAGAGGGGGGACAGTGTCCTGATCTGAAGCCCCGCCGCTGGAGCCGTCGTGTTCATGGAGAGACAGATGGGTCATGTCTGAGAGAGAGAGAGAGAGAGAGAGAGAGAAGGAAGAACTGGCTTAGACTTTGACACTTTGTGCACTTGTTAACGCAAACGCGCGACAGAGATCTCGGCATCCACTCACTGCCACACAGGTCTCCGAAGACGTAGTAGCACTGCTCAGAGAAGGTGATCTTATTGACGGTGTGTCGTATGAAGCCGGCCTTCAGCAGGTTGCTGGCATATTTTCGGGCTTCTCGGCGATCTGAGAACCCCTCCACGTGATGGAAGAGCCAGTCCACCACATCCGAACCTGAGGACACAAAGACAGGCATCCTTTAAGTGCAGTTTTAATTAGATTCTATAGCTTATTTAACAATTTAGAATAATTTACGAGATTGGACTGGTCTATTAGACTCGTTTTAAATCAGGAACTAAGGAACATTTTATTTCTGGAAGAAATAAAAAAAAGGTAATGCTGCTGTGATACACAACTGAACTGAATTGATGGATTAGGGAGGCTTTCCCTCAGGCGGTCATAAAAAGCTGAAAAGGGAAGATGGGTGGAGATGAATGAAGGAAAAAAGAAATGCAGGATCACGACAGACATACCGATGAAGGCATTCGCAATGGTAATCTTGAGCCACATCCTGTCCCGCACCTCCAGACCGGACTCTGGACAGGCCATGGCCTTAGCAACCGTTGCCATGTCGCTGTGGATGGAGAGGTGAAAGTCATCGAATCCTGGGAAAGATCAGAGGATATGTTATCAAAGGAGTAGAAGCACATGCAACTTTCTGCCCTGTTATTTTATTGTATATATTGAGCATTTCTCATTGTTATGTTTACTCCGTAACTTTACCTGCTGCTGTTACAAACAATAAATTAAGCTCACATATATGTAGCTCTGAAGGTTCCAACAATGTTTATCTGGTTGTTGAATTTGCTTTGGATAATATTTGGTTTCTTGTGGTCAGGACTGCAATGCAAAGAATCATGAATTTGACAAATTAGGTTGGATTCTTGATATAATTACACTATAACCGAGCTGTGCTTAATACTTATTACCATTGGCTTTTGGCACCAATACGGTTGGCGGTTTATGCAAAGTATATGAAAAAAGCACAACTAAACCATAAATTGAAGGCAAAAATGCCAGCATGTGATCATTTGACATGTATGTTCTGTCTGGTGAAATCTCCAGAATTGTGAGTCATATCATTATGGTCAAGAAATGTGTAAAGAGGAAAGCTTTTTTTTTTTTCTCCTGAGGGAAAGAAGAAACATGACCGCTTATTCCAGAAATTACAGGGAAGATGCGAGTTATGGCTTTGTTTTGACAAGTTATTGAGCAGATGGAAGCTAAGAGGCTGTACTCAGTAAAACGCTGGAACAGAGAATAGTCGCAGGAATGCAGTCTGCAGAAGGCAGGAAGAGATTTATCAACATGTTAGAGGAAGTAATGTCCTTTTGGAGAACAGAGGATGATTGTGAAGTGAATTCAACAATCCCGGGACGTTTTTATGCCTCCTATCATAATGCTCAAGGTTACAGTGTAACAATGATTTGAATGAAAGGGCCTTGATAAGAAGCAATGAAGGCGATGGGACTCACGTTCAGTCTCAGGGATCGAGCTGCTGATGGAGGAGCTGGTGGAGGTGACGGTGCTCATAGAAGGGCTCATGCCATATGCGGGGTACACCCCGGTCATGGCCGCCGTGTGGGACACCCACGCGGCCGGGTCAATGGGCCGGATTGGCTCACCTGTTGAATTAAACGTAGGGTGGACCGTTACTTAAACGCATGTATGAGGAGGACAAACAAGAATAAGAGGTGAACACTCACTCCTTGGCAGAGCAAAGCAACTCCGAGGGTTTGGGTCCCAGCACTTGGCCACAGTCAGAGTAATGGGACTGATACAAAAACAAACAGAGACAACAAATGGCCTCAAATTCGGTCGTGTCCTGCATCTGTGTTTAAGGGACGAACATGTCTAACAGCCATGCGATTGTTTGACGTGGGCCAGTTTGCTGCTCACCCGGGCTTGTGCACAATGTCCCTCAGCACTCGAACGGCATCGTCGTTGCTCATGTTCTCAAAGTTGATGTCATTCACCTGCAGAGAAGAAAAGGATTAAAAATATCTCTACACGTTGAGAACATACATCTGCACAGAAGTGTGATTGATAATGTGAACGAAAGAACAGCCTTAAGTTCACTATTTAATGAGGTATGACACAATCACAGGTATACAGATGTTCTCCCTACAGTTTGCCATTAGGGGAACCGGCAGGCCTCCACACGGCGTCACATATTATAAATTGGAGGTGGCAATAAATAAATAAATAACATATTAAAGCCATTAACACTCCTGACTGACATATCCTGCTTTAGATTAAGACACTCATACAGTTAGTTATAATGGAATTGAAATTATATGTACACATAGGAGAGAAATTATGGGATAAGAATGTAAATAATATACTGCAATAGAATTTATGCTTTACACAGGTGCATCAGTGTAAAAACATGTCAGGAATCTGATAGCAATAAATGCAAAACACACACACACCTGCAGCAGCATGTCCCCAGGCTCTATACGTCCATCTGCAGCCACAGCTCCTCCCTTCATGATGGAGCCAATGTAGATTCCTCCATCTCCCCTCTCATTACTCTGGCCCACAATGCTGATGCCCAAAAAGTTGTACTTCTCTGTAAAGAGGGAACAAACTATGTGTATTGAAGTAAGTAAAGACAGAAGAGGTGATCAAATGGAAAGAAATGAACTACATCTGCATATTCCCTCCATCTTGGGAAAGAGTGTGACTATTTAAGGAGGCGTTATTCAGAAGAAACGCACACTCTAATCATCCCAACAAATCAAATTGCATTCTGTGTTCAGCTCCCAACCGACCGAGTGACTCACCCATGTTGAGAGTGACAGTGATGATGTTCAGAGACATGGTGGAGTCTGTGATGCTGCTGAATGAAGAAGACTGGAGACAAGAAATGTAATGAGAAAAAGAACCAAAATAACCAAACGGCAACACAATTTCAAAAAAGAATTCTGAGGCATATTTGCCGTCTCACCCTGTCGATGTTGGAGGCCTTGGGTTTCCGTCGGCGACGGCGGTGTCGTCTCATTAGACGAGAGGAGCTCTGCTCAGTGGAGCTGCTAAATCTGAATATAAGAGAAGAAGAAAGGTAGTTGGTTTTGAGATCACTCACACACACACACGTGTCTTACTATACGACCAAATATGTATTGCTACGTGCCAACTTATCTAAAAAGATATTAAACCGCATATGTTGAGTTATGGTAATAATAATAATTATAATAATCTACTTAAATCAAACTAAAAAAAACACACCACATCTAATGTGAATAAAAATACGTGAACAGAAACTGTAGAGAGAATCTTACCAGTCCACATTTATTTAAATGTTACCTACATGAATAAAAAATTAAACATCGTTCCCACTAAGAGCTTTCACACCCAACCCACTTCATTTATTAGAACTTTTACCCCGAATTAAATCCTGAACGTAGAATCAGTGCCAATGATTTACACACATTTTGTTCAGGCAAAAGTTAATTTCTTGGTGTGTTGTAGAAAATCTACTGACGAAGCTGTTCTCCAGATCTGGATGAAGGATGGGTGAGCAAGGCGGGAAGGGTGGAGGGGGCGGGGGGATCCCAGAATGGCAGAGTCTCTTAAGTGGGTCGAAAATATTTTAACGACCCCTGCAAGAGAACCAAAGGGGATAACCACAAAAACCAACAGAAAACCCCATTGTGTTTACCTCTGCCAAAAACCCATCACGTGTAGGTGCAGACACATTCCTCAAGCCAAAGGGCTGTTTTTGTCATTGGGAAAGTGACCTAATGAACAACATGCTGGACAGCGACACAGGATATCAGACCTGCTGGTTGCGTCATCATCTTCTGAATCATAACAGGAAGTAGACTCCAGCTCGCTGCTCATGAAGGACGAGCAGCTGTCGTATTCGGGGCCGCCGCGTCCAATCGAACGCCCCGGGTGTCCATTCTGTCTTCCACCTGCAGTGGGACGGCATTAGGACCAGCAGGACACAGGCATACACGAGGCCCACAGAAATATACATATTTTATGACAAAGGATACAAGTTGAGTCATGATGCTTCTCTTCATGCTTATCGAACCACAATCATCAAGCATCTTAGGCCCCACATGCTTCCCGGTTTAAAGAATCTCTGATAGAATCAGGCTGCAGATGTGCATCTCTCACGTCACTGTGCGTACGCTGCGCTCAGCTTTTCATGTGCTGATGCATGATAAAACCCACGATGCCCCCTCCCACCACCCCCAGATGAATAACATCAGTGAGCGGTGACTTCCTGACCGTGTTCGTTGGTGTGTTTCCGCCGCGGCCTGTCCCGCTCTCTCCTCTGCGACACCATGGAGCCGGTCTCTGTCTCGTTGTCCAGACTGTCTCGACCACTTGCCGCGATACCACTTCAGACAGAGACATGCACAACAGAGTTAGTGTTGAGAAATGTTTGTATTAAACGCTTCTTGTTATAATCACATTACAAAACTATAAAAAGACTGGAGAGCGCAAATGAGAGACACCAGTTGCTGCACATCAAATTCCAGAATTACGATAATCTAATGATAAACGTTTATCAAGACAAAAAAGGTGGGTTTTATTTCCTCCTGCGCAGTCACAAGTAGTCACACTTTTCCAAGTTGGCCGTTTCCTCTGTTACCGTGGTTATTAGGAAACACAGGACTCATTCACACAGAGCCAAACACAAAGTATGCATGGCCTCTTTCTCACACACAGACAGAGAGAGAGTATGACACGCTCTTTCCCCAATATACTGACTGATAGGAGGGTGGTCTCGAGTCTCCGATGCCCCCCGTCCTCTCCAAAGGCAGAGCCGCATCTATGCTGTCCGCCACGGAACTTGCGTCTGTGTGGGCCCCGTCTCCAGAGACCAACTGTCAACAGACAAGGGAGTCGGGTCAGTGCGGGGAACGAACACAGGGAGCGACACGGAACATGTGGGTGACGGCACAGGTGTGTTTACACTAGACAGTACTCAAGGGCCGGCTGCTATATGCCCGCTTTGCAGAGGCTTGGCAGTAATTATGGATTGTTGGGCATTACCATGTCTCATTAACTGTAGAATAAATCAAGTAGTTGTCAACCAATTTCCTGCGGACAGAGCCACGCTGTGGAACAGACCGTAAACCAAGTTGTTATTCGTCTCCCGGACTGTGTTGCCCGAGTAACCAAAGTGAGGAAGAAGTGCGATGCAATAAACCATGACCGTTGTTCAGGACAAATGATGTGACCAATGAGTTTTAACATTACAATACACGGCCTTCACCATTACAAAGCATCCTCCCTCTTGACATTGGGCCGTGAATCTGTAGATCTTTGTCGTCTTGGCCATATTAAACATGCAAGCAATAACAAGCTTAAAACTAACACTGGATCAATGGGAAACAGTGTACACCATTAGCAGCCCACATTTGCTCTGTGTTTACATTACAACTGGGATATGACTATAATCATTTAGTACACCGTTTCTTTGGTGTAATGAGCAGCAAAAAGTTAAATCAGACGTTTGAACTGAAGTATTCTATGTTTTACACGCAGCATACCCAGGTTGTGTTGTGCCAGCTTCACCACACCCGTCATGTTAATTACACTTTGTATATTTCATCAATTGTGTTTGGCCATAAAACACTTTGGGTCGAATTAATGAATGTTTGTTCCATTTCAGGTTCAGTTTAAAAAGGCAAAACAAAGTGTTGTGGTGAAAGGGGAAGGTGTGTAGTGACTGCAGGACATTTACGGTGCACCAGGAGAATGTGGGAGATACAATCTGGTTGTCAGCTTACAATGAAGTACAACAGGCCAGATTGAGGGTGCTGGTCTGTTGTGATACTGTGAGGATAGTGGGCCGGGCCCCCGGACCCCCGAGAACCATCAATCACATCATTGAAACAACAGATGAATGGTGGAGACAAACAAAAGGACACACCGTAGCAGAGATAACGTTTCATTGTAGATGGAACATTTCAACAATCCCCAGGAGATAACCAATATATTCAAATACATCTCTCACACACACAGACACACAAAAACAGAGGAATTGGCTTTGAATCAAACCTCCAATAGTGGAATGAAAATCACCACAACAGAGGGTCACATCAAAACAAGCACGCTGGATTATCAAACAGTATCCAACAAGAACCCTGTGTTGATCATTCGTAACGAAAAACCTGTAATTATAACCACACTGTGAACTGACCAAATACCTTTCGCTTCATGAGTCAATCTTCCTGTTAGAGGACATGCAGCGTGACCTTTGTTTTGGGGGGATTTTTTCGCCTATCCTGTGATTTCACTTGTTTTAACCCAATTTCCAGTTGAAGGGAGAGGAATGAAGAACCGGCACCAGATGTCTCTTGTGTTAAGGAGACGGAATAATTACTGCTGTGAGCCTCTAGATGAGATACTGCATGCAAGCACATGCATGCAAGTCGGCCTGGGTTGCACACTGTTACTAGCTGGTAGAGGAATTTTATGGAATGAGTTTTAAATAATTGCTGATCACCTTCTAAAAGTGCGTTGAACACACACGGATATAAAGAGTGTTTGCCTCGGTCTGTTGCTCTTCTGCTGCTCATTATGTGATAATGATATTAACACCCGGAGGAATAGGGCATCTCCTTAGAGACCCAGTATGAATGTGGTCCCTGGCCAGCAGATGGGAATCATTGTTACACTCACACGCAAACAGTTGCCACACAGACACACTTAATCTTGCACACAGACAACACAGACACAATAAACAAAACCAAAAGGGGATGATTTGAATGAGGAAAAAAAATGAATGGACTTCAAACCTACCCATGACACCACGCGTCCATTAAAACAGGGCAGTTTAGCGTTGTCGTCAGATATTTCCTCCTTTACCACCCTGTAAAGAGAACAAAGCTGTTGCAGTAAACCTTAACCAACACAAAAGCCCTCTCAGGGCAATAAACATGAGGCAGGAGAAGGAAAGACGAACATACTGGGACAGTCAGCGCTTTACACTATTCCTACACGTATCCACCTCAAGACACATAATATTGCTCAATGCCAATGTAAAATGCTGCGCTGGTTGTTGTGTAATAAAGGCAGTTTATTATTGAAACCCTGAATGAACAGTAATGGCCGGGGAGACATCTGTCACGGTGTCTATTCCATTCACATAGGTTGAGCTACCCCCGTTTGGAGTTTCAATAGTCTATTTACATACTAACCCAACCCTCTTCACAGCACAAAAAACATGTCTTTCCCCACTTACAGATGTTAAGAAGTCTCTACCCCACCCTAGTTTGAGTTTTGCCGGGAACCACCTTTGAAACATCTGGCTCATCTTTGCTTTTTAAAAACAGACATACGTTCTCCCCCCTTTTCCTTATTTTAGATTTCTGTAGAAGGCACTCTATGGAGGGACATAAAGAGTCTACTTTTCCCACCTATGTTTTTTAACACAAAAGGCCATGCTCATAAAGCTGCCAGAGTGATGAACAGGGCATTCCTCAGTCCAACTCTGCATTCCTGGGGCTAATAGACAGCAGCAGCAGGGCCTGCAGAACCCACTGAAACACCGTGAAACGACCCCCAAAACCCCCCCATATATCCACCACCAACCAGCTGACAGCACTAACCAGTCAAGTGATGCCCACTGCACTTGTTACCACTCCTGCCCTAAGTTGACGTACCAGGTCGGGACTCTTCTAGTTTTCTTCTTACCGCTGGAGTTTGTGCAGCGGACAATTACCAAACTTGGTCACAAGCCGCACGCGCAATGTAAACAAACGCGGCTGACGACGCTGAACAGACGTGCTAACGCTAGCAGCTAACAAAGGAACCGCAACGCGAAGAGCCGGCTGACGGACCCGCAGCGCCAGGTCGCGTTTATAAGTTGCTGACAGGCCGGCGGAGAGAGGTGACGAGTTCGCATGAACCGAGCTGTGACCCCCCCACAACCCTCCCCGTAGAGACGGATGAATAAAACACTGGGCGCCGCGCGGAGACCCCCGCGTTGAGCACAATAAACCAGTTTTTAACGGTTACCCGAAGTCATCGTCCATGGATTTGAAGAAGAATTTGTAATTCGGCTTCTTGAGGACGTTCTTGAAGTCCGCCAGAGTGACTTTGTCCGCCGGTACCGACAGCTTCACCAGATACGGCGTCTCTTGGTCGTCCAGGTGGTAGATAATTTTGGTCTCCCCCATCTCGGACTGCGGCTGAGGCGACGCGGGCAGGGTGCATCAAGCCGAGGGCCCGGCAGGCTCCCTCTCGGGCCCCGACTCCCCGTGGCGATGGCGGCGGCCGGTGCCGTGGTCCGTCCACGGGCTCTTCCTTGTTGACCTAACGCTGCTTAGCACTGGTTCTCCCCTCTGCTCCAGCTAGCTAGCTAGCTAACTAGCGTTATTAGGGAAAAAAGCACCTTGCGCTTCCACAAAAGCGTCCAAACTGACGTCAGAGGTTTGAGTCGCGATAGTTCCGTTTGTAATCCAACTTCCAATACGAGTTTAGTTTGAAAACGGATAGAAGGTCAACAGTCTTTACAGACCGGTTTTTTTTCCCTTCTCGCTAGCTGCCGAGCTCGGTACTTTGTTGCACACGAAACTGCACAAAAATCGTCGAAGCCCGTCTAAGAAGAGCGCCACCCGCAGGCGAGGAGGGGGAAGGTTCCTCCCGGGTCACTGCGCGGCACGAGCCCGCAGACGGTCACACGGAGGACACGTATTTAACCAATATACTTTCATTTATTAATTGACAATATTCAACAATAAGCAAATTTCCACTGTGAATTCTAGTCAGTTTATACACCATTGTAGATGTTATCTTATATATTCCCACTTTCTCAGTTTTCTGTAAGGGCAGAGAAATGGAGCTCATTGTGGTATTTGTGCAATAACTATTACACAATCAGACAAATAAATGATTCTGCCCCAATTGTTAACATCGCATTTATGATACAACACAATTATTTTCAAGAAGATGCCATTTTCTTTCCGCTTTAGTCAAAGGACCTGCCCTACGGAAACATGGAAACTGAAGTTTCATTCTGTGTCTCCTATTGTACAAAAACACTTAAGTCAAATAGGAATATTTACAGCAACTGAAGTTTATTTGACTGAATGAATTTTGATTTCCCAGTACAGACAACACAAAGCAGAGTAAATATAACAGATCACTCAATAGACAGTTAGCGAAAGTGTCTCAAACAATTAATAAATGGGTTTACAAAATGGAGAAACGTTTGAAATAGACGTGGGTCTACTGCTATTCATCTCTGATATCATCTTCGTTATAATCATAATCTACTTAATTCCTGCCACTGCAGTCGGCGGATGTGACAATATAATATTTTTACGTACAAATACAAAAAAGGGGAAAGGGAGTTTGGTCTCTTTCTTTTTTTTCATCTTTTTTCTTTTAAATAAACTCATACGAGTCAGAGTAACAGAGTGGTGTCACGTCTCAGTCATCCAGAAAGTCATCATCTAGGTTAACGTCTGTGGTGTCGATATCATCCAGCTCGAGGTTGTCCAGGTCCACTTCCAGCTCATCCAGAGTCTACATAAAGACACAAAGAATCATTTGTTTTCATTAGAATTATTTGGTAATTTATTCATATTTCATCCTATTTATCCTGTTTTTTAGATGTATTGTTAACTTCATTGAATTTAAATATGTAAAACAACAGTCAAATGTTTTTCTATTTTATTTATTCAGACAGTTGCAGAGCACAATATTGGGCTGATGATTCATTAATTTGGATTAAGTAGCAGTAACTTTTGGATTTTTACAACGGTGAGAAATCAAACCCTAAAATGAAAAGAGAATAGAGTCCAACCTCTTTTTGAGACTGTGTTAACTCAGGGATTTCCTCCTGCTCTTCTTTGTCCACTGCAGCAGAAGCAGCAGGTTCCGGGAGTGAAGATGTCACAGCTGCAGCGACCAGAGCCGCCGTTGGCTTCTCACTGTCCTGTGTCTGCCGCAAAAAGGGAGTCAAATAAAGTTGGAAAGTTTGAATAATAATAATAATAATAATTCTCTAAAAGTACTCAAAGACGCTTAGAACTGCAATCTGATTTTTCAAATACCATTTTTACTCATACTATGGGCTGGCTCAAAAGAAAATGTTGACAAACCTTGGGAACAGTTGGAATGAAGGTCCCTTTGGGCTCGTACCCCTGAGCCTCCTCAAGAATATTCCTGTCTTCGTTGAGCTGAGAAAGGTTGTGTCAAATATTTATGAGATTTATGAGGGATTGCGACAAAACTTGAGGAACATTGCAGGCCCACAACGCAACTACCTCATTGGTTAAAACTTGTGCAACTCACCGTGACCAGAGGATATTCTTTGGCAGGCCTAGAGGTGCCCAAGCAGGACTCTCGGAGGTAGTGCTCTGCGCTAAAGGCTTCTCTCAGCCCGGGGAAAAGGTTCTCGTATTCTGTTGGGTCTGCCAGAGACTCGGCCGCCTGAAATGACAAGCCCGCACAAGGAGTCGTGTTCAATAGGAAATATTCAGATATTTAAACCCTTAAAAACACAACATCTTGTTGTTGTTTTGGCGCATATTGTTTTCTCAATCTTAGTGTTTAAGTTCTTTACAATATTGACATCTTTTCAAATAAACGATATTCCTGATCAGAGAACAGACCTTTGTGTTGACTTTAGCCAGGTTCTCCCTCCATAATTTGACCACACGTGACACCTGACTTGGCAGGTAGGTGCGAGCCAGGAAGGCAGCTTCAGGCAGCCGGTTGGTTCTGATCAGCAGCTCCAAACACTGATCCAGACTGCGGGGAGAAGACGATATGATGAGCGGTTCCCGCATGTTCCATGTGATCATTACATATCTATGCCGTAATCTGTGCACCTATGTCCCAATCATGTGCTACTCACTTCCCCTGCAGGAAGTAGGTCATGAAGGCCACATTGTTCTTGCCGTCTCTCTCGGCCCCCTCAGCCAGCTTGCCCACCATTGTAGCGTTTCCGGAGGCTGTTGCGAGGAGGAGCAGGCCACCGTAATCCTGAGCGTGATGCAGGCACTCCTGGGCCAAGCCGAATTGGCACTTACTGATTGCCAGCTCCGCTAACTGTTTCCACTTCTGCTCCGCCTGCAGGGTTTTAAAATGAAAAATATTAAGAAACGCACTGGGCAGAGAACTGGATCGGTACCAGCATGAAATTACCACATTATTCAAAGGCTCGTGACCCATTGGGAATTGTATGGTCATTTTTTCGCCTTGTGGTATGTCAGAGTTTGCCTCAGTTTCAAGAGCCAACTACTATAGTCCTACCTCGGCCTCCGCAGCCAGCTGGTAGGCAATTTTCAACTCTCCCAGCTGCAACGCCAGCTCAAACCGGTGTTCTGGGTCTGTGGACACAGCAAGCGCCTGCTGCTTGAAGCCCTGAAGAGCAGAAAAAAGGAAAAAAACTCACCATCTTACAATCACAGCCTGTACATCCATGTCAGAATAGAAAAAAAACTAATCCTTTATCAATTATATATCATCTGGTATCATGGATAGTGGCCCTGCATGACGGCTTATTGCAGGGCTTTCTTATCAAAAAAGCTGCATCTTTTCCGTTACATAATCTGACTGCTATTTACAAGGTACATTGGAATTAAACTGAATAAGCAAAATCAACTCATAATGCATTTCCCTTACCTGTTTCTCCAGGAAATGGGCGACCCTAGTCCGCTGCTCTTTAGCAATTGTGGGAAGCACCTTGTCGGCCATTCCAAAGTCCCTCCTCATTACGGCAGTCTGGTACTCCAGGACGGAGACCAGCAGGGAGTAGCTCACGATGTTGAGCTCTTTGTCTCCAAGGTACAGACGGTCGTCTTTGGGTATGTAACCCAGCAGGTACATGGTCCTGCAGGGAGAGAAAGCAGTTGGCGTGAAAGATTCAGCATCCTTCACAGTACTCAGATACACTTTTACACCTTAGAGGTTGTTGTTTCCACACAATGTATGCAACGTTAAGAAGTTGCTTGAGAGATACGTGCCGTGCAGTGTTTGGAAAGGGTGGGCATTAAGGTTTATTCAGCTTAATCCTAAAATACCGGTATTGGTACCTGTCAAGGTGAGCGATGGTGACGATCTCTCCTCCTACATAGTAGTTGAGTCTGTTCACAGAGCTGGTGTAGATGAAGCAGTCCCCTACCCAAAGTCCAGTCTTTACAATCTCTTGGATTTCTCCCTGGACCTGGAAATAAAGAAATGTATAAATCACACAAAAAGGAGGTGAATGTAAGATATATATATATATATATATATAAATAAAAGAGAGAGAGAGAAAGCACTCCTTCATTTGAATGTAAAGCATTGAGTTGAAGCTATGCAATGAAATAGAACTATGTGGATACAACAAAGATTAAATAAAATTACGAGTAAAGCACCCACCTCAAAGGCATCTTCAATGCCATCCTCAGTCACTCCTTCGTTATTCTCTTGGGAAGCAGCTACTTTTTCTGACATATAACGCAGAATGAAAAAGGACTCCTCTGTAGCGATGCAGACCAGTTCACCAGAATCTGACCAGAAGATCTGGGTTGGTTATGAAAAAAGAGGAAGAAAGGGTGAGAGAGTGAGAAACAAACAAGTTACTAAAACAACAATACTTTTTTTAGGCCTTTAATACATGGCTTACATACAGTGCTGTTAAAGTTCAATCAATAATCGAGACTAGGATCTAACCTCAAAATAAAAAGTCTTACATGTTTGGGCTGGATCTCAATGCGGCGGACCAGCTCTGTGTTCTCCCAGTCATAAAATGCCAGGCCATTCACTGACCTCACCCCAAGCAAGAAACCTCCGTAGATCCCTGCAGGGAGGAACGGCAACACACACAGTGAAGAAGACAGTGGGACACGTCCACTTCAAAACACCACAAGTTCATTATGATACAATGTTAATTACCTTCCGCTCCAAAGTCTGGCTTAAAAGACTTCTTTTCTTTGAAATTTTTGAAGATCTTGACAATGCTGTTGCTTTCTCTGATGGCATATCTGTTACAGAACAAAAGAGTGAGGCAGTTCATTTTCTGAATAAGGAGGTATACAGCGGGGACGTATCGCATCTATTTCCAACAGCATACTTACTCAGATGAGTCATGAGCCCAGACAAACTCCTGCGCCGAACCGAAGCTCTTGTTCCTCAAAGCCATTGCAGTATAGATGATATACTCTCCATCCCCGCACACCACAACAAACCTGGTGCACACAAAAATACATATAGTGAAGATCAATCATCTTGCAAAGATACGTATAGTCTGAGAAATGAAAAATAATCACATTCAAGGATAATTTATCGTCATATTGCAACACAGGGCTTCACATTAGTGGGGCTGCTGCACATTTTTGCCCGATTCTGAGATAATCTTAACGAGTCAAAAGGCATACCTTCCATTAGGGTTATGCTGAATGGTTTGGGGGTAAATTTCACAGCTTCCCATGTCTTTGACAGCCAATGGGAGCCTCTCTCCGTCCTTGATCTCAGCATCACCCATGGCCTTCAGGTTGGCTTGCTGTACCTCACTGTGTTTAGCCCAGATGATTTTTCCGTTGGTATCCATAGACATCGCTGGCTCCTCCCGACCCACCTACACAGCAGATGTCGACAGTTATTTGACTCCATATATAATACAATTCATCTTGATTTCTTCCAAAGATCAAATTCCCCTTTCCTTCTACATTACTATTCAGCAACATGTAAGGACATTTACGGGCGAGAGTTTATTTTGTCACTCTCTCTTTTGCTCACCTTGATAATGATGCTGCCTTCATCGTAGCCCAGCGCCACATTGTTGGAGCCTCGGAGGCCGCACACACACCACACTCTCTCCATGCCGTAGTTTAGAGTGCTCTCCAGGCGGTAAGTGCTCGAGTGCCAGATACGCACCGTGCCTACAGAGGGAGGAGGTAAAGTTGCATAATCCGGCAGGCCGTGAGCTGAAATGCATTGTGGGGGTGTTCGTGTACGGAGTTTAGGATGAGCGGGATTTTTGCTCACCGTCTTCTGATCCAGTGATGATGATGGGCAGCTCAGGGTGAAAGCTGACACAAGAGACATTCTGGGCGTGGCCCTCCAGAGTCTGAACACAGGTCTTGTTCTACAACACAGGGGAAGAAAGTTTAACATGCGTGTCAGTGTTGACACAAAGCTAACGGATGGTCATATGAAGGATATAGCTGATCAATGACGCAAATATACACCGTTTTTAGAACTATCAACTCTCTTAGAAAGCTCTAATTATTCATTTTTTAAGTTCATTAGTTGAATGATTATTGTTTTGTGGCTTACTTTTATATTCTCGTAGAAGAGAGGTTTTTTTACCTGGTAGTCCCAGATCTTTACTTGGCGGTCATCAGCCCCTGAGATGAGGTACGGCTTGTCTCCTCCACTATAATAGTCAATGCAATTGACCCCTTTCTCGTGACCTTCCAAAGTAAAATTGGGGGACGAAGATCCTAGCTGCCAAACCTGAAACAACCCATTGGACACATCAGAGAACCAACTAATTCACTTCAAATACATTTAATTTGAAGTATATTGTAATTATACGTCTACAATTAAAGACATGTCATTTATAGTCATTAAAGACCTGTAAGGCAGAATAATCTGGGTGTCCCAGAGATCCAATGACAAGATAAAATTAGCAGCAGTAAAGACATCAGCAAGCGGCACCTACCTTAATTGTTCTGTCCAGGGAGGCACTGGCAAACTGATTGTTGTCCTTAGGGTTGATGACAATCTGCATAACGTAGTGAGTGTGGCCCTCAAACACCTGGCTGCACGACCACTTCTTCTCCCAGTCCCACAGCTTGATCAACATATCATCTGCACAGAAATACATTCACGCTTGTTTGCACTTAATACGCTGTCTCTGAGGACACTGGTACCAAGACACCTTTGCGTTCTTACATCAAGACGTCAGAAGAGGCTACCCATCGTTATTTAAGTGTACCGGCTTACCACTGCTGGTGAGGATATAAGGCTGGGTCGGATGGACAGCGATGCAACGGATATAGTCAGAGTGGGCCTCAAACATGTGGACACGCTCCAAAGTGTTGTAGTTGAACACCCGGATCTGCATGTCATCCTGACCAGGGAGAAAAACGATTCAAACATTAGTCAAGGAAAAGTCAAATGTAAAAACACTGTGACCCTGTTTTAAGGTTTACTGCACATGCCCACACATGCACATAAACTATACTAATTAAGGACATTCAAACTCGGATCTCAGGTTTATACTACTAGTTTGTGAAACTGCTCGTGTTAGAGACAACAACTGTCAAGATTCATGGCCTCAACAGGAAAATGGATCAAACTCACCGCTCCTGTAATGACCCAGTTCTTCCTTGCCACAAACTTAGAGGCTCTGACGGGGAGGTCACATACTTCGAAGGTCTTGACGAGTGTCTGGGGGAAAAAAAATAAGACCATTGATGAAATTGTTTGCGGCAAATTCCTCACTTCTTTCTTGTGTTTGTCAAGTCCGCTTAGGACTATACAGTAACAAATCAAAGAGTGGATAGTTCGTGTTAATCTGTGTTTTCTGACGCAGCTTCAATGGGATCACACCTGCGTTTCGTGGTTCCACACACAGACACTGCCGTTGTAGAGACTGGCCAGCATCCATGGCTCAGTTGGGTGAAGGTCCACACTCTTCACTCGGTCTGACCGAGCCGTCAGCCTCCGCTTGATGTCCAGCCTCAGAGGCTGAAAAAATACACAACCTTTGGTACTTTCCCCTTTTGTTCCTCCACCGTTCAAACTCTCGTGATTTTCATGGTCATTTGGATTGGGACATGGTAGAAACTCTATAGTAAAAGGATAGTTAGATAGCTAACGCTAGGTAGCAAAATAACCATTAGCATGCTAACACATTTAAGCCAGACCAACTCAATGATCGCAAAAACCTAAACCAGTACAACGCATTTGAATTAATTCGACTCAAAACAAAAGTAACGTTAATCACTCGAACTTCCGTTCACCAACAACCGTTGCTTAAAAAATGACATTAGTTAGCTTTTGAGCAGCAGGTTATCTTGCTAACTCAAGCTAGTTAGCCGCTAAGCTATTCACAATAAGGCATTTCTATTTGACAATTTCACTGCCCTTTAAAACATAAACAGGGACGCTCGGATGACCTATATCAAAATAAAACATGCATGAACTATTTCGAATGTCTCTTACCATGATTTATCCCCGTGTTGTCACAATAAAATCCGATAAATGAGATGTGAGCAGTGGCAATCGGGTTCCTGCTGTTACGGCTGCTGAAGAGAGCACTAACGTTAGAGATACTGACGTGGAACTTCCTGAGTTTCAGTCTCGCGTGAGTTGTGCTCTAGAAGTGGTGACGTGACGTGACGCTCTGCGCTGCAGTCGCTGAGTGTCAAGGTAACAAAACCAGCCGTCTTACGTCGCAATTCCTTTATACCAATTTATTTTTATATTTGTGACGGGGAGTACCAAGGGGTCGGGCTAAACCGAACCTGTATTGTTCAGTCCGGCCCGAGGACTTCCCCCTCTTATGATAAAAAAGACCCTGGTGTTACTCCAGTAGTTAGAAGTAAAACAGCCCCCCCCCCCCTACTTGGTGTCACGTATTACTAACTTGCTTTACTTTGCAATTGTCTAAGATCTACTGATGATTATCATCATACATTTCTGCATGACGTTTTTTTCTCTTTCTTCCTGTTTCTTGTCCACATTTTACTCATTATAGCTACATAACACCAACATATATTGTTATTCCGAGCAAAGAGGATTTATTTTGTACAAGTTGTGTTAATCATGACTATGATATAATTGTAACAAGAATGCCCCCATGTAAAGAATAACTTTGCTATATATATATTTCTTTTTTTATATACACATTCATTGATCAGTCTTCTATAATCATATTCATCTGTTGTATCAATTTCCCAGACACAGAAAGTTACAAAACGTTTCAATGTCTCAGGCTTAGATCCTGTTGTTTATAATTCAATAATAATATACTGTACTATAATATCATTTCACACCCAAGGTACTACCATGTTTCCCCACCAGATGACAATCTAAGCATCTGTTTATAATATACCTTACTGAAGTGACTGTGTGTGTTCAATATAATGTGAAAATGATCAAACATTTTAAAATTACAACCCCTCTCAAAGTCACTTTACTAGTCTTTTGATATTAGTTTGGCTATTCAGCAATTCTTTAAGTATCTTCTGATGTTGGAGTCTTTGTAAATACAGTTGGATGTAACTTGTTTGTCTTTATTCATACACAACACAATATTTATGTCTGAAAAGCACCTTTATTCACTTTGTTCATATGTTCAGGGAAACATATTATCATGGAGAAAACAACGACGGACTCAGTTAACCAAATAATTGAAATTAAAAACATACATTGGCCTTTTATTGTTTTCTCTTGAACACCTGAACACAAACTACATCTTCACACGTCAGCTCCTGTTGGAGGAAATCTGGGTTAGCATTTTAAAAAAGGGAGCAACAAAAGAGTAAAACCCTTCATCACATTTAATTATCACATTCTTCTGTGCAATAACTGCCACAAATCCAACACGTTCGTCTTGTATCCAAATAAATAATCAGATCAGATACTGTCAACCCACCAGGTAGAGTTTGTCTCCTTCAATCCAGTGTTTCCAGCCCCGGTTTGCCTTCTCTCCTTTCTGAGTGCACACCAGCTTGTCTCCCTCCCAGGTCACGAGACACTACAAGACACCACAGACATTACGTTCATCAAACAACAAACTTCAGTCGTTATTTAATGCACATTTGAACTTTCAATTAAATTATGTTTGGTCGTTTTTTTTCGGAAAAATTCCCTTCCTCCACCTGCTACATGACTACGTTTACCATGCTCCCCCTTCTAACCTGAAGGTTACTGTCCTTCATGAGGACATATCTCATTAGGATGATGTGTAATAAGCATTGGATGAAAAGAAGCTTCTAGTGTAGACTTATCACAGTTGCTCTTCTTTTGGCATAAAGCAACTGACTAAATGTCAATTGGAGAAATTGTCACAGAATGACATGTCTGATGTATCAAAGCTGTGAAACGCTATTATCAAAAATATATTTTACTGGCTTATGAAAATACAATGTTTTTTTCCTATTGCTTCTGGTTATTTCATGAATTCAATAAAAAATAAATATTTTTTACTGAAGCAAAATCCTATTGCCCTTATGGCTAAATGATGAAAAGGTTTTGGCTAAACTGCCTGCAGGTATCAGATGCACCATTGCCGAGTCATTCTGTCCAACATTCATTCGCTGTCTTTGATATGATGAAAGGCTTAAGATGTAGACTGCCACTCTTGAGTCGATGTAGGAGAGAACAACCCACCTTGATGTTTCTGTTGTCTAATCCCTTGGTGTGCTCATCGAACTCAACTCCTACAGTGAAGGCGAGCTCATAATTCCTGAAGGTGCTCAGAGTTTTGAAGTCAAACTTGTCTCCGTCTTGGGTGACCACTTTGGTCTGAGAAAGTGAGATAGCAATCTTCCTTGTGGCAAAGTCAATATCTGGAGCCAGGATATAGAGACTTGATTATGCCATCTTTCAAAAAGACTGGATATACAGACACATATAAATCATATTTTTAAAGAAATGGATAATTTCCCCTGTCTTTAGTCTTAGAATATACTTATACTTATACGGTATTGATTTCTGTTATGATTTTACACGACAATATCAATCTTTTTTAAATGTAGTTGTTCTGTACTCAGTATTCAGGGTGCTCAGGGTGAAGTAATTGCGTGAGAAAAACATGTTTGCACTGGCAAAGGTTTGGATTGAACAAAGAAAAGAACATAATATAAAAAGTGTGTGTCTGTTACTTGCTGTGTGTAACATTGCCTTTAACACACACCACCTCAAGCAAAATGAAAAGTTCCTTACTCAACACTTTCAAGTACTCCTCAAATTTGTCATTGGTTTCCAGTATCCATTTCCCGCTGAAGTCTGCAGGCATGGTTGCAGCTGGTGACGCTTTAGCTGGTGTGTGTAGACTTTAGACAGTGGACGGAGGAGAAAGGTGCAGGGCGGCCTCCTTATTTATAAGTCAGGGGGCATGAGGGCAGAACGCTATTGATAAGTGAGTTTATAACCTGAAGGGGATTGGCAGGGGCACTTTGTTTTTGAAGGGGGGCGCGGGGGGGAAGAAGGGGGGGGACTCACCCATCTTTCAGTCTTCACAGTCTTACACACACACACACACGAATACACAGACACACACACACACACACCCACGCAGAGACTCACGCACATACACATGCAGATGCTGCAAGGATAGTCAGTGTACTATGTACAGGCAGGATAAGCTATTTCGCAATTTCCACCGACTGCGAGTGCCCTTTATTTGTGCAGAATACACAAACTTTTAGCTTGAAGGTCAATAAAGTTCAACTGGTTTTAAAGTTCAAAAACAATTTGTGACTAATTTGGGAATTAATTTGTACATCTAAGTTTGATCTGAATAATAATTTCTATTTTGGCTTTCATCAAAAAAGTTTTGTTAACTTGTCCCTTTCAGAAGAAAAAAATGAATATTCAACCTTTCTTAAACGTGAAGGTCCTAATCACATCAAATATATCTTTTTTATTTCTGGTTCGCAGTAATACTGCTTAAGCTATTGAATGGGCAAACACATATTAGATACTTTTCCTTCTGGTACTTTGTACCAGAAGGAAAAGTCTGGATATACAGACACATATAAATCATATTTTTAAAGAAATGGATAATTTCCCCTGTCTTTAGTCTTAGAATATACTTATACTTATACGGTATTGATTTCTGTTATGATTTTACACGACAATATCAATCTTTTTTAAATGTAGTTGTTCTGTAGGAGGAAAAGTCAGTGGCAGAGTGTGCCGCTCCTTGAGCCAGGGGACTATGCATGTAACTGCTCAAAGGGCATCTCATGCTCCCAGTGATTGATAAACGGGTCCTATCTGCAGGAACCCAGGGACTTGTGTTGTAAAAACGTTCTTAGCATAACCACCAAATCAGCCAGGCTTATGTATTGAGGCACTACTGGACACAAGCTGTGTACTTCCCCGTCTATTCTCCATGCACAGCAATACATAAAGTTTTGTTCGCTTTGTTGAGATGTTACAAAACTTTTCTGTCAGAAAAGTTTTATTGAGAATAAATGCAAATGCAGATTTTGCCTCGGCGGCAGACTCTGTTCCAACCCCTCCCTAAGAGCATAGTGTTCCTGCACCAGCCGGAGCAGGGAGAGATCGACAGTAGCCCCCCGGGGAGTCATAAATAAAGAGAGCCTGCAGGTGGGCGCCGGCAGGAGGCCGAACAGCAGGGCGAGAATGAGCAAGTAGGTTTGACAGTTTATACAGATTACCCAATCAGTAAGCTCACTAGAAATGCACAAAGTGACGTGACAGATCAGCTGATTGAGAGCACAGCGTGGCTCGAGATGTCTGGCCGGTTGCTCGGCGGGCATTACTTACTTAACTCGCTGAGACTCTCAAGCAGAGGCCCCATGGATTTTTCACGCATGCCTGGAAAGGAATATTCAGATAAAAGGAGCTGAAAACGTCTGATCTTTTGGCCCGTGGAACTTCTGTAAACAGCAACCAAACATCTGAGTCCAATGTCTGTTTTATGACTGAACCGCAAGTCTGATTATGGAACTAAATGGGAGGTTTATAGGCTCAGAAAAAGACAAATAACATTATTGAGCATTATTTACTTTATTGATTGATTTCTACTATCAATGACACGTTCCCAAAGGAGCTGAAAGTAATGAACACACACATCATATCTGATATCCAGTGTGGAGACAAAGCATCAGTAGCAGTAATTTAAATGCCTCAAACACACTCAAATTATTAAGTATTTTTCTATCCACAGCGTTCACATTCAGGCAACTAAAATACGATGAACCCACTGCTCTGTTGTCTTCACTGCCAACCTGTACCTTCCCACCAATCATTTCATCGATGTGGTTCACCCGTCAGATCAGCTGCACCTACAGTAGCGTTACGCAGGCGCCCAGCACATCTAAACTTAATCAAAAGAGCTCCCACCGTGAGACAGATATATATATACACATATTTCATATGTTGACATGATATACACACTGCCCTGTCTATTTGACGTGGATGTGGCAGACGAGGCTCTTGATGGAATAGAAACGACATTCACAACAATACACACATTGGGTAGACAGACAAATGGAGAGATGAATGAACGGACCAAAGCGAGGTTGGACGGTGTGCCGGCGGCGTGGGATGTGTGTCTCTGCGAAGCGGCGTCAGCAGGGGGCATCGCCTCATTCAATAAAAAGCCAGCTTAAGTCTTCTTGAAGACTTGCTGGCAAACAACTCCTGCAGCTCTCAGCTCCTGCAGGGAAACAAAGAGACAAGTTACAATTTTTCAGATTGATACACAGGATGTAATTTTAACTGATGGGAATGACCAAGAGGATTATAGAAGCTTATCCCTACTGTCTCCCCTAAATCATCAGATACAAATGTGTTTGACTTAGCAACAGTAACTATGGGCTGGAGGCGCTGGGGATGGATCCATGGAGGAGTTAAGTGCTTAATGTTTTGAATAATGTAGGGCACTATAGAGGCCAGGTACCCATTCATGGAATATCTTCGAGCTTGTTGCTCTACATTCAATGACAAATGTTATAGTTGCAGCTTGAAAGCAACTGTTGGCATCATTTGTACTAAATCATTTGGCAGTTTTTTCAGGCTTAGCACTATGAACTTCACCAAAGAGATGTTTGAACAAAAAGCTATTGCAGTTCTTCTAATCAAAATTAGATTTGAAACGTCAAGAAAACAACATGGCAGTGGCTGTTATTGCTAAGTGCTGGATCACCGGGGTCCAAGTCTTGAGTACCAGGCACTTCAGGACCAAAAGCAGAACAATACCTTTACAGGAAGTTCCTTATGTAGAATTGGTATAATTCACTTCGCAGTAAGAGAGTTCAGCCGCATACACATGCACCTCACACAGTATAATGTTACAGCTGCCAGAGCCGGTGGGCCAATTCATGAGCCCCACATAAAAAAAACAGCACACATACAGTGCTGAGAGGCAATTTGAATTTGGATTAAAATATCCAAATTGCATACATTAATATTTATGGCAGGACCTGGTTTTTTCTTACCAGATGAAGCTCATCTCCGTTTACCCAGTGGGTCCAGCCTCTCCCTTCGATCTCCCCCTTCTGCACACACACCAGCTTGTCTCCCTCCCAGGTGATGGTGGTCTGCATGAGTTCATCGGTCGGGGAGAAAATGGGGTTATAATAATCTGAGTGAGAGGCTTAGTCTCCCATGAACAGTATTAAAAATAAGTATTCCTCTGCACATACAGGGGCTAGTGACCCTTTTCTCTCAGCCAACTTGCAGTTTATAGCTTATCTATAATCGTTCTATCAACATGCAAAAAAAAGTTTTTTCAAGGGGCCCCACAGAACATCTTTAAACCTATTCGGTATTCAGGGAGGCAATCTGATTAAAGGAGCCTTGACGTATTTCTCTGCGAAGCTGCCCACTTTTCCTGCAGGATCTGACACAGCTCTTTAATACATAAATTCATCGACGCAAGTCATAAAAGTTTGGGGAAGGTTTTATAAGTAGGTGGTAGGTTTTTGTATTAATTATTGCCACACTATGTGCTCATTTTACCACCTACTTACAACATTTTCCAACGTCCAGAGGGCGGCCCCTGAGAAAAATTTAACCTACATGTTTGGCACAAATCTGGAAGGTTTTAACAGGTTTTTCATGTTTGAACTAACATTAATATAAATCTACTGAATACACTGGCTCTAAATACTCACCTGGCATTTCCTGTCATCCACTCCAGACAGATCCTCCTCAAACTCTTTGCCCACATAGAAGTCCATGTTGTAGTTTTTGAAGGTGCTGAGGGTCTTAATGATTATGTGGTCGCCATCGTGGCTGATGTCCTTGTCAGGCTTCAACAAGGTGGCGATTTTCCTGATGGCAACATTTACATCTGCAACAGGCCCCAGAGGAAGGTGGAAAATGGATTAGAAGCAAGTTTTAGAAATGTGTATCATTCTGGAGAGCTGCAAACACTACAATCACTCCACGACAGTTCATGTTCTCCAGAGCCTTTACCTTCCCAAGACCTGCCACAAACTCACCGAGAGCCTTCAGGTACTCCTCGAAGTTATCATTGGAAATCATCTTCCAATATCCGTTCAGATCCACCGGCATGTTGGCTGTTGCTCTGCTGCTTTCCTTACTCCCAGTGAGTGAAGAAGAGGTCTGCTGTTGACGGCTACTTGTGCCAGAGTGCAGAACCTGTTGTCAAAAGCCCCAATTTGAACCGAATTCACTCTAATCCGATTACCTCCCAGTTCCCTCCCTCGGTCGATTCCACGTAACCATTCACGGCTCCCCGTGCTTTTCATACATATTGTATGCTGCCATGCATACATAATGTGGAGTAGCTTTATGTCAGAGAGTGCTCGCTCCGCCTATAGGGATTAGAATGAATACACATCCTCTATTAATTGACACGGGCGCACTTATAAGGAGTTCCACGTGTGGCAGATTTGGCCTGGTTCTGTTGTATAAGATGAGGTCATTTTAATCATGTTATAATTATGATGCAGGGCCATTAACAATCAGCAGAGTGGACCACAACGTGTGGATAATATGCATAGTACAAAAGCACAATTCCCTCAGAATAAAAGGATCTGGCTGGAAAAATGAAATGTAGAACAAGACTGTCATATCTTTGGTTTCGCCTAGATAACCCAGTTCATTTAATCTCTCTTTTGCAGCAAACCCACTGTCTAAATCCCTTACAGACTGGGGCACATACAAAGACACACGCACACATACACAACGTCGTTCAAAGGATGCCAGTCAGTATCTGTCACAGTGGCGCTTTCAGCCATGGGCCTCGGTGAGAAAACACCTCCTGTAGCTGAGCAACTGTCAGGATTACTTTAAATCCTTTGGTGGAAGAAATACAGGCTTACAGACTGTGTGTGGATGATACTGGGGAAACAAAATAGATCCACAATGAAATGCTTTTGGGAGGCGGCTGCAGAGCAGGGACACCAACAACGATCTTCAGAAGAGGGAATCCAGTTCAGATAAAAACATGCATGTTTGTGGCAGGATAGCGGATTCTTAAATTATTAGATCTATAAAAGGCAATAAAAATCTTGCCCTATCTACCTCCATCAGCATCTCACACCTTTTGACCTGTCACTTTAAAAACATAATAACTCCTGGACACATTACAACTATTGTCTGTTTTAAAGTTATTTATTTTTTTGGCTGCTATTACAATGTCTGTTTCTGAAAATAAGTTTCAGTTTTAAAGGGCCTTACTTCCTAAAATACTGTAATATCAGACAATTTTCCATTTTAATAAAGTATGTCAGAATGTGTCAAGGATAGATGTAGAGAATATTGTGTGATTTTGGGAGGACCTGGACTCATTTATTGGAGAATCCTGTTCATGGTTTTGACTTCAAACAGGAAAAAAACACCACTGACAATTTCTTTTCAAATATACAGGATTTTATTTCCATTCATCCAGCGGTGCAAAGATGGAAAAGTGCAAAACTACTATATTCGCTGCCACCATGGCACACAGATTCAGTGTTTGCAACGCTCCATCTACCTCTGGAGGCTTGCAGGGCTTCCGGTCTCAGATGAGAAGCACTGATGTGAGCGAGTGTCCAGCTCTGTGCTGCATCCATCCATCAGTCATCCAGGCTCTTCACTGGCTGTTTGGCGAGCGGCCTGAGCACCGCGCCCTCATTGATGCTCTCGCTGTCTCGTGTGTAGAGGTTGTGCTGGTGAATGTATTCTATCACAGAGTCTGGAATCAGGTATTTGACGCTCAGATCCCGTCTCAGAGCCCGGCGGACCTCTGTGGCGCTCGTCTCGTTACTCACCCATTCCCTCACGTGGAAAACGTTTCGGCGGTGGGCCGAGAGCGTGTCCGACTCGTGCACGGCCCGCTCTGGCTCCAGCCCCCCTCGGCTGACGCAGACCAGGCCGAAGCGTCCAGCCACCTCCTCCACGTGGTCTTCCTGCCACAGGCCGGGGATCTTGAAAGATTCGAGGAAATCGGCTCCACACAGGAGCTTCAACTGGGGAGAGGGGGCTGAGGGGGGAGGTGGAGTGAGATGGTGAGGGTGAGGATGCGTAATCTTAACCAATCTAAACCTATCTGACTATAAAGAGAAGAGATATGTTGAGATGCAGTGAGGGCCCAGAGCTACAGCTCAATGTGATTTATTTTGAGAATAAAGTAAAGATGCTTGTTGATGTAAAGAATGTGACAATACCAACAGAGGTAACTCAACTCAGATCCTTAAATCCTCTTTTCACCTCCAATTTCTGCACGTTCAAAATAACACTCAAACCGAACAGTAAACATAACAGTAAACCGCATCTTTTATTTAGCAAAGATGCATTTGATCAATCATAGATCTGTATATAGTGTTGTGCAAAAAAAACAGAAAGGCCAACCAAATACTCATGTAAAGGATTTGAAAGTCTTCACAGTATTAAACTTTCCGCTAATACTCTTTAACCACATATACTCAGGAGCACAGTGCACAATTAGGCTGTGCTAAGTACAGGCACAATAGTAGGGATTGATGCAAATCCTCAACCCTAGCGTTATTAGAGGGCTTGTTAAGGACGTGATGAAGTAATATCCTGAAAATAAACATAGCACAATCACGCAAGTGACGCTGAGGTTAGAATGCTAGCATGCCTGTGATAAAGTGCCTTGCATAAATATTCACCAGCCTTGAACTTTTCTCCATGTTGTACTGTTTCAAACTGGAATGCAAATAGTACTTTAAAGGTGCAAAATACCTTTTATTAGACATCTGCTGGATGCAGCATTGACCCCCTGAGTCAATACTTGGTACCTAGATACCCTCTGCTGCAATCACAGCTGCAAGTCTTTTGGGGTATGTCTCCACCAGCGTTGCACATCTAGAGATGGAAATGTTTGTCAAGTCTTCTTGGCCAAAAAGATGATGCTCAATTATATTGGATGGAGACCGTCTGAACAGCAATTTAAGTATCACGTACTGCATCACATTTTCTTCAAGGATTGCCCTGTATTTGGCTCTATCCATCGTTCCCCCAGTTCCGCCTTGTTACCTGCTGAAGAGAAGCCTCCCCACTGTATGATGTGCTGACATGCTGTGCTCACGGTGATGGGCAGTGGTGTGTTGCCGTCATACACGTCATTTTGCATTGAGACCAAACAGTTACATTTTGGTCTCATCTGACCGAAGCACCTTCTTCCACATGTTTGCTGTGTCTCTCACGTGGCTTGTGGCAAACTGGATGTCTTATGGTTTACTTTCCATTCTTCTTTCTTCCATCTTTTTGGAATAAACGGCTAATATTTGTCCCATGGACAGATTCTCTCATCTCAGCTGTGGATCTTTGCAGTTCTCCTCCAGCAACTATGTGGCTCCTGGTTGCTTCTTGTCCGGCTTGTTGGTTTTGGGTGGACGGCCTTCTCTGGCTCGGTTTAAGGCTGTACCATGACAAAACTTAGAAAAGTCCAAAGGGGGTGAATACTTATGCAAGGCACTGTAAAAGCCTGGCACGCAAGCATTTTCTGACCTCTATATGAATGAAGGTTCACATTTCTTGTAAAGTAAATCAAACAGTTGGTTGGTGGATAAATCAATTCACATTTCACTATATTTGGACAAAAATGTTAACTGGACTGACTCCGCCATCCCCCCAAAAAAGAGAAAAGACATGCCCGAGTGCAATCCGAGGGTTTCTGATTGATTCCAACTTGCAAACAGTTCTTACTTGATAGTGGAACGGCGTTTCCACTGGAGTCGTCGTTGTGCGCTGCTGTGAACTGCTTACACTCCTTCAGGATGCGCCCATAATGATACCTGCCCAGGGACCAAACACATTAAAATATACTTTTTCTATTAGAAATGGTGATACACAGACTTTCCCTTATTCAGATCTTTAGTGATCCTCCCTTTAACTTCTGTTGTTACCTAGGTGACGCTAGTTTTCATTCATCCTTTACTCGTTTATGCATCAGCCAATGTGCTTTTTTTTCTCCATCTGAACATCATGCCAATAAAGCATCATTAAACCAAACCGGATACAGTAAACATAGCAACTAAGAAAAGCTTCTTTTCTCCCCAGTGCTTTTGAGTGTTTGGGACTTGCTCACAGCGCCTCCGGGTAACAACAGCCTACTTCATACCTTGATCCGCCCCTGCGTTGCGCAAAACTCATAAGGGGATTTGTGAGGAATGCAGAAGCGGGGGGGAAAAAGGCAAGTGAAATGAATGTAAGACGTTCACTGATACAAGTGCAGGAGCCCTATTAACACATGACATACAGCGGGTGTGTGCAACGATTAGGCGTGAAGCTCACTTCTTCCAATAGAACATCCGTTACCTCGGGCCAAATCCTTGACAGAGCCCAGCAGCAAATACATTTCATTTTCCCGCACAATAAACTGCCACATGGAATGAGGCCAACATTCACAGGCATACCTTCCTCCCATCAGCTATGCCTGCCTCTCTTCACTCACATTCATGCTCCCAGAGAGCCTTTTGCGCCTACACCCATCCCCCCTCGGTGGGAATTCAACAGAAGGCGTCCCTGATTTCACCTCATCAAAAGCCCGATGCTGACATGGTTCCAGTCCAGCCTGGCAGCCCCAAAGATACCAGAGCCTGGCAACACACCGTCGCATAAGCAGTGGAAGTTGGCGTTAAGAAATGCGGGCAGAGAAGCAGCAAGGGAGAGCACGTCCCTGTTAACTATCCTTGTGTTATGGAATATATACCCCTTTGAGAGCGGTAAAGAATGTAACACTGGACCGTAAAACTAAAAGCTTCTGAGTGGAACTGGGACAACGTGTGCTTGCTTCTGTCAACAGAATCAAAATGAAGGTAATAAAAAATCTGTATTAAGGCCCCGATACTTTAACTAGCTGCACACAAAATGTAGTGTGAGCCCGGAAGTAATTACTCTCTGGTCTCTGGCGTGATCTTGCATGGAAACGGTCTTTTTCCCAAAAAAGCAATTAAAGTCTAACTTTGCTTCACCTCATGGTGACAGCAGTCTCCGTCCAGTCTGGCTGCCGGCTCTCCCAGTCATCAACCGTGACCCAGTTTGAGCTCCTGAGCGCCAGCTTGGCCATAGCAACTCGGTGCTTAGCCAGTACGAGGCCTTGCTTTCCATAGCCGTCACTCACCGGAGACACGACGCCACCCACCACCTGGTACTGGCCTGCAGGGAGAGAGTGAGATTAATGCGGGTTTCTCTCGGTCATGATGGCCGATACAGAAACGGAATACATCTCACAGGAGTGAGTAGATCTCGGAGACGCTGATGTTAATGTTATTAGCGCTTTGTCAGATCTCTCACATCTGAAGGCGATCGCTACAGTCGATCTTTTAAAAACAGGGCGACGAAGGCGCTGGATCATATCACGGAGTATATTGCTTTTACTGTGTGAGCGATTTCAAGGGTTTGAGAAACTATTTTGGACTTTGCAACTTTTCTACGGGTAAACAGAAGCCAACTGAGTGTTTAACAACACGTTTTAAACTGATGCATCTGCAACGGTTGCAAAAACCCTCCCATGAAAATGAAAACAACTCTGTTATGCAGCCTACGGGAATGCTGCAGCGTGAACAGAGCGGACCAGTTGAACGACGTTGTTGTGACCATGGGGCCGGCCCAGAGGCTCTAATGCGGAGCAGCTTTGGAGGTCAATGGGACCAGGTTTATCAAAAGGGGACCTGTGTGCTGACGTGCTACTTACGTTGTTACAGAGAACTAGGAGCTCAATTTATGTCCTGCAACATTATAAAACCATTTAGATTCGTTTTTATACTTAAACAATGAATTCAATTATTTTATTAATGTTGTCTATTAAGCAAAAAGACAAGAAGGTGGAGTGTTTAGAGCTGCATGAATTGATAACTATGCATCTTTAACTTGCTGAGTGCTAAACTTTCTTCTCTAGCGCGTCTCTCGCGGTGTAACGGTGTATGTGGGCCGTTTGCTGCTGCATAGGTCATAGACGGATGGTTTATGGGGGCCTGTTCATCAAGTTCCTGGTGGGATCGAGGGTGATGGAAGTGGGGAACCAAAACATTTGTGGGTCATACAATAAAAACCATGAGCTAGAATCTAAAAAGATTTCTGGATCTGCAGAATTGGGTCATAACCATGTAAAGGTTCATCACTTTGAGCAACTCCTTGCGTGTTTATGTTACCGATAGTGAAGCGTGTCACAAGCGTCACTTTACTGTTTAAAATGTCCTTAAACACTTTTGTATTCTTTGCCATTGACCCATTAAGCAAACTTATGTCACACACCCCAAATCTAATATTGAAAATAAAATATGACGTAATAGACATTCCAGCAGTGATATTTGGTAAATCTACCAGCTGCCGTAGGTTGATTTTATATTGATTGAATTTATGCTATTTGGTTTCAATATGAGTAACAACTCAGTCCATCATTGAGGCATGTCTTGATCAAGCTTATAGCCAAGGTGTAAATAAACAATTTAGGTAAACCTTTAACACATTTCCTTACAATATGAACATGTCTTATAGATCAGTGGTTCTCAACTGGTCTGGCTCCGGGACCCATCATCACCCCTTGATGACAAGCCCAAATCGAGGAACATTCTCAACTTCTCAAATTTATTTAATGAAAATATGGTGCAGTTTGAACCCAGTTGAGAATCACTGTTGTAGATACACTGATAAATATGATCATTAAGATCAGTGTAGATTATGGAATTGAGACCAAGCGGGAGAGAGGCCATCTGCCTAAATCTGACCTGTGCTGTGCATGTGGTCTCTAGCCAGCTCAAACAGCCTCATGTGCTGGTTGGTGATGGGATTAAAGGAGCCGCAGGCAAGCAGGACTAGTGGAACACGGCTGGTGGCCATCCTGGTTTGACCCCTCACACCACCGTCGAAGACCCTTATGGAAAATCAAACGAGAGAGTAATTAACTGTGTGTGTGCTGTGCGTCGGGCGATGGGACGCAAAGGTGAGAAGACCGAAGAAGGCGGGAAGAGGAATGCGTCCTCTTGAAGAACATTCCACAGAAGACATTTAGCTCATCCATCTGCAAGGCATTCGCAGCGCTGTGATAATCGGATGAGGTTTGCCTCAGCTGCATTAACTCTTCCACATCCACCATCATTTGGTGGGAGTTTTTTTATTGCCAAAGCACCAAACAATATATAAGCGTAGCACAGTCATTCTATGCTCATTTATCATTGGGATAAATGTGATGTCATTTTTCCATCGTCAGACCCTGGAGGAGGGGAACAGCTTGTTCTTACGTGAACATGACTGTGTAACACGCTAGAGAAAAATGAACAGCTGTTCTAATATGGTTTATTCCAACAAGCCTCTCTCAATGAATCCTTTGATAAACTACTTACCGTAACCGGGGAATTTCTACATTAGCCGTTATATTTTTTTGCACACTGTATGATGTCTTTTACAACGTTGTCTCCCCCGCTAGATATACAGTTTGCCCTCATTTAGCCACCAGATCGTATGTTTCCACTAAATATATATTTGATGTATGCTGAATTTCTATTCCTATCATCTTACCCTTTTTGTGTTTCTCTTAAATCATTAGTATTTAACGCCCTCTCTATGTCCAATACTAGAGTGCCAATTGAATCTGTTGTTAAACATTGCCTCTATACTGCATATAAACAATGGAAGGCAGGCATAAAAACAACTGCACGGCTTTGGCCTCTTGAGACAATCCCACAAAATGACAACAAGTGAGAGTAGGATAACGTGTGTACGGTTTACTTAGACTCACAGGTAACCTCCGTTATGAAACTAACGTTAACTATGAGATCCAGCTGCGGGTCGGACAGGTGCAGGCTGTGTGCAACAGAGACACACTCGCTTTTCGCCCTGACGCTGACTTGAGTAACCCACAAAACTATAGCTTAACGTTACTGTGGTTTTTGGGTGCTGTTAAAACACAATTAAACGTTAAGTGAGAGCTGGAGAAAAAAAAACACCACATCGTCCAGTCGTATTAGATACGGTTAGCATTAACTAGCTAGCGTAACAAACTAAAAACCCTCCATTCGATTGAATGTATGAATCAGGCTGAAAAGTAGAACAATGAACCAGTCATACAAACAAATACACGACGGTTAAAGGGAGCAAGGACAAATGAAAGGTGTACCTTCATTTAACATTCCTGTTTGGTGAGTGTGTCACACTGTTTCCAGCCCCCTGTTCTGAGGGGCTGCTGCTTGATGGTTCCGCAGAGAAAAACCGACTCAAGTGTGACACCTGGTGGAAGAAAGTAATTCTGAGCAAAGTGGCGGAACTCTCCGTGGTACTGAAATACACTTCATCTGTTACACGCAGTGAATAGCCCGACAGAGATTGCGACCAATATTACATTGTTATACAGAAATTTAAAAGTGAGGAGGAAATGGAGGAAGACAATTTACTTATTTGTTGCAGAGGGACATGAATATCATTGAAAGAATTCGTTTGTTTAAGTAGGTGCTGTAATTTCGTAGACCATAGGTTTAAACAATACAGTGAACTAACCAACGAAAACAGTCATGGTAAAGAATCTAGCATCACTGCAACAATCCTTTATGCCTCAAGAATTTAAGTTAGAAAAAGAATGTTCGGGCAAATGGTAAAATATTTCTAGGCTGCTACGGATTGATTTTACTGCTCAGTCTGTATCGGTTAAAATCCACTACTCCCTTCATAACACCAGCGAGCGGTTTGTCTTATCCAATAATCTGTGATGCCACACCAGAGTTAGTGCAGATGGACGGGAGAAGGGCTCACACATATATTTTCTCCATGGATGGAGGAAGAATGTCTTGTGTGGATTGCTTCGTGAGGTAATGACATAACTGGGATGTATATTTTTGGTTGAAATAGGTGCAGTCGGTGTTAGCTCATTACTACATATTCCATATGCTGCCTGTCAGGGCTACTATTTGCAATTTCTTTTCTTTTTAATGTTTTAAGGTTCTTACCGTAGGGACGATTAAACATCACCATCTTTCCTCCGTCACTACTTTACTTTGCTTGTAACTTATCTTCCATTAGAAACAGCCAATTGAGTATATGTGTGTGTGTGTGTGTGTGTGTTAGTGACTGTGTGCGGATGTCAATGTGGTCCTGCATGTGTTTATCTGCACTTGTGTAAGTGTGTGTATTTGTCTGTTCTGTCTCTGTTATCCTCTTAACTCATGAGGTCTGCCCTCTCTCTCTCTCCCTCTCTCTAATCCCCAGATCGCACACCCACACCCAACACACACATATAGGAAAATAATTGATGAACTGTTACAGAAACCAGTGATTCTGCCACAGGGTGAAAACTGAAAGACTCAAATCTGCAGTTGGGAGTATGGCGGCGACGCTCATGCTCTCGTTAGGATAAGGCAGGAAAACATAATGGCAGCAGCTTCGACTGATCATGAAAGGAGTATTTTCTTAATAAAAGTTTTTATTTTATTTGTTAGATGTCTTCCAAATGTAGCCTATACATATAACATAAACAGGACATTAATGGAGGATGTGGGTCAAGGATGGAAATTGATGAGTGGTCTGAATACAAAAAATTGGAGATCTGCAGACATCAGTGCGGCTCTTTCATAATACACATAAGTATTCCAGTGGTTGTTTAATGTTTCACAATATTAATTAGTCAATATTATCGGATAGCTTTTTATAGTAGCTGCTTTGAGCCTAAAGCAAAAGTAATCACTATCAAAACTTTCCCTAAGAAACATTTTATTATCATGATAATGAATAAATTTCAGGCAAATGCTAGATTGATAATTAGGGGTTATGCAAGTAGTTGTCCATACCCCTCCTCGGAGCTTTGCTTTTTTTTCAAGTGAATTACTTACTTTCCACAGTTTATTTTGGTGTTGTCAAGTCAGAAATGTTGCAAAACATTGATTTGGGAGCAGTTTCAAGTGTTGAAGAACTTGAATCACAATAGAAGGAACGTTTCCCTCATGCTCCCGGTGATCTTCTTCCATGACAAAAAATGAGCCAATGATTTATTTTGTTGGATTGTGGTAAGCGACTTGTATTGTTGCAAAGCTTGGAGTTCACTGAATAGATTGAATAACTATAGCTGCAAATCGTAGAGGAATGCAACCACTGACAGCAAACTGTCCGTTACAGAAGCTGTACCCTCTAATGTCCAAACCAATCCTTTACCCTCTTAGCATACAACTACTAAAACCCATCTCGAAAACCCCCTCATATTACCTCCCCTCTTTTAAAAGCACCTCTCTGTGTCAAGCTGCCCAAACCAACACACATTCTTCCCAGAAAAAACGCTTTTATTCTTCAGAATAAATGAGTACAATTTGTCATACCTGTGGGGAATCCTTTTCTAGCGCACCCATAATCATTTTGGTGCAACAAAAAATAATTTTAATAATAGGTATTTTTTCCGTCTTAAATTTAACCTCATATTTAATTCCCACATTTTCAAGAAAAACGCTTAACTGCGTTTTATTTTTAATTCAGAAAACAACAACCGGAAGCCGTGTTCTTCAGCGTCGCGGTTTAAACGTCAGCGCTTCTCTCTCTCCGTGCGCACCGTGCTCGGTGATAGTCTCTCTACCCTCCCGCCGCCCCCACCAGTGAAAGAACCTCCTCGCGCTCGGAAAGGAGCTCCAGGATTTTCGGAAGGAGGAGGAGAGGACGGAGAGACACCAGCCGCGCTGCTCCACCACCACCACCACCTCCACCACCATGCAGATACTCGGGGTCCCCTTCCTGCCGGTTTGGCTTCTTCTGGGCATCTGCGGCGCTTTCGGCGGGAAAGGTAGGAAAGAGAGGAAATGATGGAAAGAAATGAAAAATAATTTAGGCAAAAATGTCGCTTTTCCTGCTCACGGCGTAACGCTACGGCGCCTCGAGTAAGTTCTGCTGAATATTAAGTAACTTAGTGCGTTGTTTTTTCTTGGCAACTATTTAATGTCGTTACTTACCCAAAGTTCGCGTAATGGTGGGGCGGCGCGCGCGCGCGCGTAAATATATATTACATTTATATATTGATGTTACATAAGATTACGAAACGCATGATAAACTTGTCAAGAGTGTTTTTTTTTAGATTAAATAAGGAAAATCACTCATTAACAAGTTCTGACTTCAGCTCTGCTCTGGTAAGCATAATTCTTCCCAAATTATAGGAATTCACATGTAGCCACATTTATTTTTTACCTCCCTTCTCAGGGTTGCTGGTTAACGCTTCCTCACAGGGAATTGTGTGTTGGAGGCAACCTTGTAGGCCTTGAATAATTAAAACCACAAACACAATATTTATTGAGGACATCAGCAGTTATGGTGCCGGTCATGATTGGCTGGTTGAAGATGACTTCTAACTATGACAATCGATTAGTACCCGGGGAGGGTCTGCACGCTCAGGGCCTCCAGTTACACACTCTCTCACACACACACACACACACGCACACACACACACACACACACGCACACGCACACGCACACGCACGCCCATGAAGGGCAGCAGCGGTTACACTGGTATTAATTGGGTCTCTGGGGTGAGAGCGCAGGCAGGCTGTGCCCAACCAAACATTATCATTATTTTCCTTGTTTATAAAAGACGTCAATATGGGATGCGAGCGCGAGGGAAAGCTGACTGGGTTTAGCTTAAGTTTAGGGACGAGCCTCCTGTAAAGACACTCATTTGATACAATGCAACTGCATATACATATTTATTGTCACACACAGTTGTCATTGGCGATGCAATGCACATACATCATCTTTTTTCTGAAATAACTTTAAATAAATCCTGGAATTTTATTAGCCTTTCTTTTCTTAAATGAAGCCTGTTCCTGTTTTGGATAAGCAGTATATTAAGGCTTCTGTGCTGACTGGATGTTTACTTTGCTGTGTGAGAGAGACTCAGAGGGGGAGTTTGGTAGTTTGGCATTTTGCATTTACAAGCTCAGCAGAACACGGTGCCGTATATGGATGAGACGCAGGCGTGCTGCCCAAAACATCCACCAAAAACAATTCAGAAAAGAGACCACAGCGAGAGAATGACAAATAACGCGGGCTGAGAGGATTTGAGAGGTGCTGGCGAGAGAAGGAAGCGAGCGAAAAACAGGATCAGATTTATGAGCATCTTTTCAACGGAGCCGTCGAGCTGCTTTATCCTCGCCGGGACATAAATCCTGAAAGCGATATGGAACGTGGAGGCATAAGTCAGGGTTTCCTCTTCTCTGCCGTGACTGGTGAAACAATGTCGGAAACGATGTGGAAACCGCGCTGCCCGTCCTGTCGCACTCCCCCTCTTCACTGTCATTCATTCCCTTTCTATTTCCGTTCCTTTCCTCTGCTCTCTCTCTCTCTCCTCCTTTGACTCTCTTGCTGTTTGGTTTGTCCGCGTTTCGTCATTCTCCTCCCCACAATCTTTTTCCAAGCTCGAGCAACCTCCCTCTCTGATCCCCGGAGCTGCTGCTCGTTCTCACTCCACTGGATTCAATTCCAAAGTTTTATGGGCTTAAGTGAGTTGTATAAACGGCGAGGCGGTCTTCTTTTTGTCTTACTTTGCCTTTTCTCATCTGGAGACTGTCACATTCTCACTCTGTCCCGGATACCTCCCCAAAACCATTTATATTATCTCCTTCCTAGCCTGTCCAGATTTTCTCTGTCTTTATCCCCCCATTGTACCTTCGCTCTCCTTCCATATCCCCCGTTTCGTTCCTCTCGTGCCTCACAAAGGAGAAAAAACACTTTTTTTACTATGCGTAAAAATAGGTGAAGCAGCAGTGATAACAGGCAATTGCGTTTAAACAGACTGAATACAGGCGATTATAAGTGTGTGTGGAGGAATGTCAGGTCTGTGTGCGCCTGGAAGTATATGCAAATTAGGGAGAATATGCAAATGAATGCCCCTAATTGGGATGTTAATTACTCAGCACGGCTAATTATAATATGTCTGATGAGGCGTAAGGTGGAGGAGAGGAGTGAAATGGAAGGGCTGCCATAGGATGATGTATGTGTGGCGATAAGTGTGTTTGTTGCGTTACAGAGAGCTTTTTGTGTTTGGTGCTGCCAGTATCATACCAGCTGGTCCAATGGCCCCGTAGGGGCTTTCTGGGCAGCGCAGCTCAATATGTGGTGGATAAACATTGCATGCAGGGCTGACTTCTGAAGGAAACACACACACACACACACTGCTCGCTCACCAATGCCTCGACTCACACACCGGGACACTCCTGCACTCTTCAAACTATCTGAGTGAACCCTTTTTTTTTTCATAATTTCTTAATACAGACATATTTCCCTCTCTGCCAGGTGGCAGCTTGTGTCACTAAATTACTCAAGTGGTGCTGCAGAGGAGAGCGAGGACAAGAGGACGGGCATGCTGTGCATGTGGCACGGAAACACAGAGCACGGGAGAAAGAATAAGATGCAACATACGCACCAAACATTGTGTCTCTTTGGGCTTCAGGCTGGACGGCAGTGCTTGATATTTGTATTGGCTACAGCCACAAAATAGGGAAATGTTCAGAGGACAAAGCACATGCCACAAGCACTTTTGTTCAATCGTATGTATGTATATTACATTGCATGTTTAACAACCACCATATTGCCACACTGTGAAGCCCAAATCTGTGTAGAAGTCTGCAGGAGGAGAGCTGGTTGGCGTCAACAAGAGTATAAAGCGGTAACAAGTGGATGATGAAATGCGTCGGCGTTTATTGCCTTACTCTCGTCTTTTATGGCGGCATCGATTTGTTATTAACGAATGAAATGGTGGAGCTTCGCTGTTGTGCTGCCGTTGTTTTCGCTCCGCTCCTCCTCGTCCACGATCTCTCACCGTAAACGGCGTCTGCTCACGTGATGGATGATCAACAGTTCCACAGTCCGCTATGAAGATATTAGACGTTTTTGAAATGTTTTTTTTTTTTTGTGTCCAAGAACACAAGATTTGCCAGGTTGTGCTTTTTGTTCCAGAACTCCAGTTGTTAGCGGGCCGTTGCTCCGCGTGTTGTCGGCTGCGTGTTTGGTCGTCCTGGCCGAACACTGTGAATTAGCTCGGCCGTGTTTGGGGAACAGATGCACGACGTGTTCTCAGCCCCTGAGTTGTGTGCTCGTGGCCCGAGGGAACATGAAACACGTTACATTCACTGACCTTCATTGATTTTTCCTGATCATTAAACACACAAGTGTAGTTGTCCGAGTTGTAACCTTATTAGTTTCCTCATTCTGTCTTAAAGATCTCTTTTTTTTTAAACCCTAAATCCAATAGGGCCCAATGATTCTTTTGTGTGATAAATAGCCTCAGTCTTGGCAGCAAGAGTAGATCCAAGGGCAGCTAAAGAGGAGGCCGAGTACGCTTGAACTTCCGTGTACTCACTGGAATTTCTTTTTTCATATACGCATTCAAAATTGACAAAAATTGCTCGACCTCGCTCATCCTTTGGCTGCGCAGAGCAATGTTCTACTTGCAGACGGAGCTGAGTCGCCGCTACGTTATCTCCGTGTGCGCGCGGGCCGAGCGATCCTTTTACTAAACAATAGTCTGTTGTGACTCACGATGAAGCCTGAAGTTATCAAGGCGTGCGCCACTGCTCACCGTTTAATTATAATTCCAACACAAACCCATCAGCCGGCCGTGTATTTGTGTACCTAATAAAATGTGTGTGTTTCGGTCCCGGCCAAGTATATGAAACGCTCCCAGACACACACACACACACACACACACACACGGATTGAGTCCTCTCCGTCTCCCTTTCAAGTCGTCCTGTGTGGGTCTCTTTCACGCAGTTCCAAAACCGCGCACACACGCTTTGAAATGGCTTCACCATTTCTTCTGATTCCTCCAACGAGCCGTCATGAAAGAAGCCGTGTGTTTTCCATCATGAGATTTGGTGTTTAACATCCGCAGGTTTGCGTGAATATTGCTGAGTTAGGCTACAAAGTGACACTACATGGTGTAACATCACAGGTCCTGCAGCCAGTCTCGCCATAGGGAATTCTTGTTTTCTGATACTTTGCCCACAAGGCAACTCGGTGTGTGTGACTGAAAAACAAACCACGACAAAAGAATATCTTTAGAGGAGAGTGAGTATCACTGTTTTTGTGTGTGTGTGTTTGAAAAACAGACAAGAAAGAGTGCGTGCGAGGTGTTGCTCACGCCATCAGTCATGTCCGCACACACACAAAGACTCCTGCGCCTGGTGTACCTGAAGCTGCAATTTATGCTCCTGGGGAAAGGGAATCACAGCAGGGGGGGAAATGAAAGAACGTCCTCCAGAAGAAAGTTTAAATTGTCACCAGTCAGACGTGTTATCTCCGGTCCTGTGTCTCTCTTCCCTTTCTTTTTTTTCCTCTTCCGACCCGCCGACTGCTCTCCGTCCGTGCCGCTGACCCCCCCCCCCTCTCTGGGAAGCAGCACATTAGATGCCAGGGTTTGGATTTGTGCGTTTTAAGTGCAATACCTCGGACCACGGTCACGTCTTCGTTTTATTAAAATAAAAAAAGCTCTCCATGTCTCAGGTGTAGTTGGGTTGTGAGGTGACGTCGCCGTGTCCCCATTTCTGTGTGTGCGTATCACGTTTGTATATTGTGTCTCTCCGTGTGTGTAAAATGTATGAATGTAAAAAGTTTGTTTGTTTTTGCAAAATCCATTTTAGAATTTTATCATTGCCTACCTGAGACGAAATGAATGAACGTAATGAATATGAAATAAATAATGATAAACTGTAAGGAAAAATCCACAACATTTTTGTGTGGAGGTGTTTGTTCTTTTATTAAAACTCCCCAGTGGGAATAAAAGAAATTGATTTATTA